TCAAGTGCTAACGATAACTTTGATACACCATCGCTTGTTATGTAATTGTCAGCTACGTTTAACGTCTTCAGCCTACATTCCCTTTTCTTAAGAGCTTCAGTAAGTTCCTTTAGTCCCTCATCACCCAGAACGTTGCCTTGTACATTCAAGTCTTCTGTTGGGCCCTTACCAGGAAGCAATAATTTCTGCGTGAGTTGACGTGCGCCCATCACGCTGATTGTGTTATCCGATAAATCTACACTACTGATGGAAGCGAATGGTGACGTCCCTAACACATTTGCGAGAGCAGAGCATTCTGCAACTCCAATCTCACAGCCAGAAAACTCAACGATAGGGATCATCTTGCTCGCCACTTCACGTGAGATCTTTTCATCCTTTATCTCGGCCGCACATTTCAACATTAATAGCTGAAGTTCTTTTTGCCTTCTCTTGTCTTCAGATTGAGACACACTGTACAACCCTTTGACGAGATCAATCATTTCTTTCTTTTTTCGGTCTGAGGCCTGTGAATCACAAAATTGCAGACCGCAAGCAAACTGAAGCACTTGGTCTCGCTTTCTCGAACTGTTATTCTTTACTTGCTCGACTAACTTCTTTAGCCTTTTTAATGACCTGTCGGACACAACAAAGTAGGCTGCGAGAAATTCCCGAAGAAAGTCGCATCGGAAAGTGAACTGCACCTTTTCGGAGTCATCTGTTTGTCTCGTTCTTTTGAAGTAACGCGGAATTGCTTCCTCAGATAACATGGAGCGAAGGTAATCAACGTCAAACACAGTCATTTCCTCATCAATACTCTGCATTGCCAAAGAGCAGACTTTTGTGTCAATTTCTGCCAGGTTATGAAGAGCAAACTGCTTTTTTGAGGATGTTTTTCGCTGGGTGAGACCCTGCGTAGGAAAGCTTTGAGTTGATGTCGTAGCAGTTTCCGGTGGTGACCTTGAGTCTTCTGAAGAGGCCTCTACAACATTTTGTGAGCTTGGTATGTGTGTTTCTATTGCACTCAGGCTGGTTGGCTTCCTGGTAGTCTGTTGCAAGCTGGAAATCATTTGTGCTATGCCAATATAGAGTTCGGTGATGGTTTCAGGGAGGTTCCCTGCGGTCTCTGGCACAACTGCGCCATTGGAGCCTCTTAACCATTTCATGAGAGTGCAAATGTAGAAGCAATGTAGTGGAACACAACATATGGAAAGTGTGTTGTCTGTCAAATTCTCTTTCAACCTGGCAGTGGCCAACTCGTCGTCTTCACAATCGTCACTGTTTGAGAAATACTTCTTAATGTACCCATTGATTTCACTCGGAGAAAATCCCATGAGTTCTGTTTGACTTGCAACGCCGAACAAATCTGCAACACTGTTCTCTGTAAGCCTAGACAAGGTTAGAACTGTTGCACCCTTTAAGATTTTTCCAGTCACAAGTTTCTTCAACAAGGCTGAAAAGGGCATTTTTTCTTCAAAACTATCGGCGAAGTCAGATTCCTGGCATCCAGATTTTGGTTCGCAGACGTTGTCAACCACAATTAGCGTCGCCTTGGGATTTCTTTTCACAAAATCAATGAGGTCTTTTGGAAGATCTAAAGAAACCTGGCGGCGGATTAAATCCTCGAACGAAATTCCGTCGCCAGGAGAGTCTTCCAGAGCTTTAAAATCGAAGCAAAGCAGAATCTTGATGCGTGACGTGAGTGACGACTCTTCCTTTGCCCAGCCTCTGACGATTTTTTGAGCTAAGGTGGTCTTTCCCATTCCTGCCTTGCCTGTTATCGAAATACTCCCAAAAGCCTCCAGACTCTCTGAATTTTTTGCAGCTAAATATTTGTTTGCCATAGTTTTGGGGCATTTTACCCCTGACAACACTGGTCTTGTAAACATATCGTCCAGTTTCAAGGCATCGACGTTGTCAAGGGGAGAACTGTCGATATATTCTGTTTTCGTCGAGTAAATATTCCTCATGTCAACCAGATATTCTCTTAAAGGGCTAACATATTCGCAAGAAGGCTCGCGATACTCACACACCTCGCTCAAGTGGAGGCGAAACAAGCCAAACTGTTGATCCGTTGGCATAACACATTCACACCAACAGCCATTATCAAGGTGCTCTTTCCGTTGGTTTGCATCTCCAATGAAGATTGTTCTACTTCTCGACCTTGTGAGACTCAACAGGAATATGAATTCAAGTAGAGAGAACAATGTTAGCACCACAATAACTAGTAAGACTGTGGTCTGCAGGGCAGATTTCGCTGTTCGAAACTTATCAACACAGGTGATACTTGCATCTTCCAAGCCGGGAACGACACAGTTTAGACGAACTGGGAATGTGTAAAAGACAAGGGAGATGTAAACGAAAAACATTATAACGTTATAAAAAAGTCTTACAAAGAGTTGCAAGCAATAAACGGCGTAAAGACCACATAACGGTGTTGTGTTTTTTCTCCTGCGGAATCGCCAAAGCCTGGGAACAATGTAAAGAGTGTAAATTAACAAAATGGCAAAATAAACGCCGCCATATATTCTTATGAAAGGCCGTTGCATTTTCAAGGCGGGGCTGTCACTTTCAGGACATTTCACATCAAGATACTCTGTTGTGCCGTTGCAAATAAGGTAACTGCCTCGAGAATAAAGTACTTCCAATCCTATTAAAGTTGCCAAATACGAAACGAACCATACACCAACTTGAAGCTGCCCAAAGTATGTTTGAGACTTCCAGATCAGAAGGATAAGCTCCCTGGTTTTGCTTCCCATGGTTCCTCCAGTCGTTGGTGCAATTTTCTTCTTAAAAGGAAATTTAAATGATTTGTTTGTTAGTATTCTAAAATAACATCGTTGATTAAACTTTTGTCACATTTTATGCGGACGAACAATCTCAATAATATGTCGGCGGATTTTTGACGGCTTATACGAATTGAAATCGGTTCTTAAGGATCAGTCAGGTTTACGAAAGCTCTCGGCAAAATATGAGATCGCAACACACTAGCCACTCAATTATCTGCCAACTCTTATCAGTGTCCTTTTTTCACTTTTTCCTGTCGAAAAATACAATTTGAACTTACCATTTGAACTTTAAGGTTGGGGCGAAGGGCCTCTTTGAAATTAATATCAGGGATGGTGGGGAGTGGGATGGGGAGGGGTCTTTAAGACGACCCTTCTGCAGAACATTCCGAAAATTCCTTTTAAGTCTGAGTTTCCTAACTGCTTTCTGTCTCTTCTCAACAGGCCTTCGAAAAATGCGTTCCAATAATAGGTCACCAAAGTGGTCGTTACGCTTGGTCAAGCTTAGTATGTCACGCGAGTCAAAATAAATCTTGTTTGCGCATAATCGTTTTGACTCAGTTGGAAAACAGGACATCACGTAATCAGAAATTGGCGACAGCTTTGAAGCTGTGTTACACGTCTTTTCCTTGTGTCTATACATGATACATATACCTCTTTCAGGCATGTGGCTTATGTGTCTCTATGTTCTAAAACAATTCTAACAACTAATCAAGAAACAAATTTTTAGTAACGTGATCCAGCTGGGATTGACATTTCTGCATAAAATGGCTTTGTTTTAATCTAAACTTTTTGATGGCGTAGCTCGATGCACCTCTTAAAATCGTCAAATAAAAGCTGATGAATAAACTGAATACACTTCAATTGAAATTCATGATAAAGAATCTGAAATATATTTTGATGTACAAACGCGGCGCATAGTAAAATTTGGACTGACTTTGCTAGTGACGATTACGAAGATGCCTCTTTCCGCAATTTGTTGTGTGATGGATTCTGGAAATCACAACGGTCCTTAGAAAATGGCAGCGAAGTACATTTTGAAAACAATATGTATGACTTAATATAAGTTAGGTGCAGTGAATGTTTCTAAGGGAGACGCGTTTAAAGCATACATGTATATAATTAGTTCCCACTTCTATACCCCGTAGTCAGCACACTACGGAAACTAAACAATATGGCAAGTCATTCTTCGGCCATAAATGCGAAACTTTTTAAGCTTTCACTGAGAGATATTTCTTTAAATGTAACATAGCTATACGAAATTGATTCAGTGTTTTCTTACCAGACTCGTGCTTCTGTTTCGTCTTCGACGTCTTCGTCGGGTTGTCAAATGTGAAAAGCTTTCTGATGCTGTGAGCGATCTAAATCAACATGGCGTGTCATCTCTTGCTTTTGAATTCTTTTGTAATGGCGGAGAAAAAGACAAAACAGTGAAGAAATCAGCTTGAGGACAAGAAAGCTAACAAATCCACTAGGTTCATCATAGAAACAGCACGAGCGTCCATTCTTATTACCATAAAGCTGTCAGTCGATGACCTTTGAAATTGATGGTTTATTTTGGAAAAGCGCCTGAAGGCTTGACAGTCAAACGATACGAATCGAAACCGACAACTGTCTGGTCACATCCGGCTCAGGGAACCTACTTGCTTTAAACTTGAAAATCCACTTTCAGAGAGTGTTTCTCTCCTTCGACCCATACTGTAAAAGTATCATAGCTGTTTAAAAAATGCTTTTAAGAATCTACTGTGAAACAAAATTGAGCCTTTTGTAGTCAGAATGGAACGTCTGTGACTCAGTGAAATCCTATTTTAAAAAACAATAAACGCGAGAGGTCACAAGATTGTTCTAAGGTTTTTGTTTCAACTGATGTCTGTCAGCATTAAGCTCTAGAATGTAAACAGTCAAATGAAATTAAATTTCTCTTGAGGTAAAAGAACAATGTGAGTACTTGAACTACTTTACAATTTTTTTACGAGGGTAGCCCATGATCGTATGCTCCTTCAAGAACTGAGTCAGATTTACGAACATTTTACAACGAAACAAAATATAGTCTGAGGGGTCATCTATCCTCTCCCCCCACTACTACGAGGTGTTACTCGCTGGTTGGTTTATCCATCCAAATAAGCTTTACACTGGTCTGTCGACGAAAAAATCGTTGCAATTACAAAAATGTGAATTTGTTTATATTGTAGATTGATAAAAACCCGCCAGTAAAAATAAATGTGCTTCTCCACCGTTTATTAGTTTCAATCAAACTATGTACACATTTAATGCAACCTTTGTCCCAAGGCCTTGGTCCTTACTAAATAGTATCTATTGAAATCTAATTAGATACTCTGAAACTACAAAAGCTTTTAGGATAAGTATAACCAGAAGCCACATAATTGGATACTTGCCATTGAAAATTTATAGAAGCAATTATCAAGTGGGAGTGTTTCAGCTCTTTAAGACCTTTCTTGTCTGATCGATTAGCCTTCGAAACGCGTATGCCGATCTTTTTTCCATTCCGTTTGCTTTACTCCATGCAGTCTCATTTCTTTTGCATCCATCCCCTAGCGATCTATTTATTGTGAAACTCAGAAAACCGTGAGGGCCTGATATATTATTAGCGTATTATTGTTTTAAAGGAAAAAAGCCAATAGGGTGTCAGGAAACTGAATCTTAAACAGCCACAATAAGCAGCTTGTGGTTTTGAGTTTTCCCAACAAGTCCAGAGGTTAAAAATTATTGGTTAGTACAGGATTGGCCTGTCAGAATCAAATCCAAGTGTTCAAGGTTTTCTGAGTTTCAAAATCAAACAATAAGAAGTAAAACAGAAAATTACTTTTCATTCAAATGCTATTAATTAATTTTTGGCAATAATCAAGTAGAAATCGTTGAAAAGAATCGCGGGAAAGCGCGTTGAGGTTCCCGCCATTTGGATGAGACTCCGTGGCGTCATATCTGCGCAGGCAGGTTACCAAGTTGTGTTTCAAAATGGTGACGTCCCTAATTGTTTTTCGAAAGGTTTTTTTCTCAGATTATCAAACTGCGTTGAAAAGTATATTTCAAAACACACTTTCCAATAGCGAGATATAAATTATGTGGTGAACAAAGTATACTTCTCAGTTAGTTTCCTTATAGAACCACAATTAATTGATTAATTTATACACCATACTAGCTAACCTTTTTATAGTGTTCATTTGTACACATTTTAGAAGTGTTTCAAAGTTGAACAGTAGTCTTTATGCTTTTATGTGGTTTTTATGTTTGATCAGACACAGCCTTTTTCCATTTAAATTGTCAGTTCTGATGAGAATATCTAAAAATTTGAACTTAATAAACCGGGGAAATCTGCGTCCTCAAGACGCAAGAAGATTCACAGCTAGCTTATAGTTTTTTGGCAGCGGTTTAACCACTGATATTATAATAGTAAAACGATGTACATATTACCCGAGACATCTGTTAGGTTCCTTGGACTGTTTTAGCCCTGTTTAGAACCAAGCATTAAACATTCCAATAAGCACCGTACTTTTCATTAACAAAACGTATGTTGGAACATGTATAAAAATGAACAATAAGTAAGATCATCCATGAATGAATCCAATTTTTCCGGCAAATTCAGTGAACGTCAGAGGAAAACTTAACGTAATTCCGAAACAAGCAATTAAAATTCCATTAAATATTTTTTACTTAATTTAAGTCTTCCCGCTTAATGTAAATACTGCAATAGTTAGCAAGTACTTAAAAGATATGCAAAGAAATTTTAGTCTACTTTAAAAGAACGAAACCGCTGACTGGTGTTATTCCTTTTAGCCCGACGGGACCGGTGATCTTTGGTTGAGTATCCAAACCAAGAAATCTATCGTTGCGACTGACGAGAAGGAATATGTACCTCGACAATGCAGCACTGATAAACGCACAAGCAAGGCAAAATATGCGTAGTTTAAGTTGGGTAGGTTTTCCAGTCTGCTGGCTTTCCTGTGCCTTTGCTCTCCATAGTCTATGTTCTTTGGCTCTCAGAAATCTATACTGGTCTTTTTCAGCGTGACATTTCAAGGATCACTGAACCACTGGATTTATTCAGGCAAAACTCCCATTAATCCTGTCGTTTGTTCCATCGTGAGACTCGATGTAACCAAGCATGGATACATGTCCACTGCACTTCTGTTTTAGATCAAAACTTCTGAGCTAACTTGATCATCGTCAAGTGACTAATGAAAGGATCAAAGACTTTGCCATCACTAAATCCCTAGCTGATCAAATTTTAACATCTGCACCGCTGTTATTGTCGTATGACTCAGCTCGCCCATGAAGCCCATTCTTTTTTTTTTAACAATTTCGTCCTATCCACTTGGCGAGGTCATGAAAGAAATAATGACTTCTTTATGCTATTAATCATGTACCGTCTTGACTATTTTCTTGTAATCTTTGAGTACATAAACCGTGATCTATTTATGAGCGCGTTGAGTCGTGAGGAAAGTGATGACACGGAGAAAGGCGGTAGCAATTAAAACGCGACATATGTTTCTATAGACTTGTTTAAGCTTCCTTCTAAAGAACGGGTTATCGAGTTACATGATCGAACGTGGATCTCAGTTTATACACAAACCTCTTCAAATCCAAACACGTTCGATGAGCCGAGCCCAAATGGGCTCAGTGGTCAGCGGCCCAGCGCGAGTAGTCACATGATCAAACAGGGGTCTCATTTTTTACTCGAACTTCCTCCATTCCTGTAAACGCATTAGGTGAACTGAGTGTCATGTGTCCAGATGGGCTGGTCAGTGGCCCGTTGAAGGCGTCAATATCTTCGTTTTGGTCTCTACCACACTCGCCGTTTTCCGCCATATCGAGGGACTGGTTCAATTCCTCCCTTTTGTAGAAGTAGTTGAAATTTGAAACAATAACCGGCACAGGGAGAGCAATGGTCAACACTCCTGATATAGCGCAGATAGAACCAACTATTTTACCTCCCAAAGTGAGAGGAGTCATGTCTCCGTATCTGTAAAAAGAAAGAGATATTTGAACTTGATATAAATGCGATATTAACATGTTTCTTGACTGGTTTGGGTTTTGATAACAACATTTTACTAGAGTCTATGGTTGAGGTTCAGGCATATACCTAACATTCATGTCACTGACCTTCCTTTCTCCGTTTTACACAGAATTGCAGGTAAACAGATTTTTAACTTTATTTTTAGTTCTGTTTTTGCTCTCCGAGACCAGAGAGGAGCAGATCTGCGCCCACCCCCGATATTGTTTTTTGTCTTTCATAATTTTTTTCTACCTCACTGACATATCTCGCGTATTTTACCTCCAATTGGCAAAACAAGGCTAAGTGCTCAAAAAGTAACAACATGGGGGCAATGTAGCTTAGTGCTCACATCATATCATCCGGTGCTCTAACTTTCAAGACCGTCGTTATGTTACTCTCTGATCGTGTTGAGATTCTGTCAGCTCGTCTGATAAAACGCGGATGACCAAGTTGAAATTGGTTTAGTGTTGCATCTATTTTGATTAGAGGATGGAGGTTTTTTTGAAAGTAATCACAGGGCGACATAAACCCAAACTAATGCAGTAAACGATTACTTCCAACCCTTGTGAACATTCACGGGTTTCATTTGCCATACAGAGCCTCTTTGGGGAATTTTTAATTCAAATGACATTTATTTACGTATTTGTTATGCTGTCGTACTCCCTCAGTTCGCTTAAAACGTAGCTGTCTAAGCTTTACCGCAGCTTGTGCAATCAGTGAAGGAAAGAAATTCGGGGGAAAAGAGAGGGAGGTTCCTAATATATTCCTTGGCTTATGGTCTTTATAGATAGTCTTTCAAACGAAATTTTGCTTCCAAGACTTCCTGGAGAAGGCTAATCTCAAACTAGAATAAATGGCCATTAAAAGATAAAAATAAGGGTATGGTTCTCACAGACTCTGAGGGATATAATTGAGTTCCACTGAAGAAAAGAAGGCATGGAGACTGCTACACATGAGCTCTCTTTGTCCAATAGAAGTGGTTTTCTCTCGCGTGGTATCTCGTTTCGTGCATAAGAAATCGTAAATATTTTAAAAGGGAGTCTACAAGCTTTTTATCAAACAGTCGCTTAATAATCGTAACCTTAATTTCGTTAAAAGTAGAGACTTCTCTTGATAATACGTGCTCAACTGACTAGAGATAAAAGCTGAATCCAACTAATGGTCAAGCAACTTTAATCACGTCTGTATTTCAACCAAAAGATTTTAGAGATGCCACAGGATTTCAAAACATGATTTTAATAATTACTATATACATATATTTAACTGATTATTTTCTTTTTCACCCTGCTCTCATCAATTATTCATCTCAGTTAGCCTTGGACGTCTTACCAATCTAATGAAAGAAACTTGGCTACTGTGCACTTATATAAAAAAGGTGTTTACTAATCATGATCACAATTCTGTGGCTAAATAGACTAATGATGCCTATTTTGATGAAGTATTTCACCGATATATGAATTATTAAAGCTGCCTCTATTAATCCCGGCGCAAGTTCTTTGTCAATGAAGCGTCTGGTTTTTTAAAATACTGATTGACTTTTATTAAAGCATTTATTATGTAATGGCAGCTTTAGTTGCCGCCAATATCATTTTCATTAGGCGCACGAAGTGGGTAGATTTGTACTATTTTGAGCCTTGAGTGTCGAGATGATTAAAACAAAGCAGGTGGATAACTGAGAGATCCAATATAAAAACAACAGCAAAAAAGGTTTCAATGTATTTTTGTTACGCTTTAAAAAAAAACGATCTTACTCAAAATTAGTATGATGAACTCTGAATATCTTAAGCAAGTAGAGCAGCACACCTGCTGTGAAATTGTTCACGTTTGCATTGCTCGAGTCTGTGCTCAGAAACAAGACACCAAAGAGCTTATCTGCTGTTTTCAGTGTTACAACCACAACTTATTTCACCATCCGGAAGTTAACATCTAACCACTATATTGCATACCTAGAGAATTAGATTGACTAAACTACGAAAATATAAAGAGGATACATTCGCTCAAAAACTATCGATCGAATTTAAGCCACACTTTTCAAAAGAGGACTTGCGGGTTTTGATAACGACAGGAATAAGAAAACTTCGACCAAAACCTCCTACAGTGTTCTGTTCCTTCCTTTCCGTCGTTCATATTGGCCAAATTTACCACACATAAAGCGATGGAGACGGCTTTTTTGTTATCACCGATGTCCACAACATCTAATGTATGCGTGTGCTTTCATTTTTAGAAGCTCTTTTCATTTCCTCAGAGAAACTTAAATTCATAGCATGGAACTACGTTGAAAAAAAATATTTATCTCATTTGTTTCAATTCTTTAAACTTATTGCACGATCCAGCTCTTCCTTCCCATAACCATGAAATCCAGGGAATAATAAAACATGCACACAAATTAAATTCACTACGCCATACGTTTCTGTCTGTTTGACTTTACCCTATCTCATAATTTTTCTAATTCGGAGAACTTATCAGTGAATAGATAAAATCATTTGTCTCGAATCAGGAAAGTTAAATCGAGGATCTCATTTTATTTTGTGGCGATTTTTTTGAGCTTCAACGACCATTTAAGTTGAATTCCGAATAAACATAGCAAACAAGGTATTGCTAAAATAAAAATGTAAAATTTATTTGCTAAAAATTTTAATTATTCCTATGCGTTCATTAATTTTTGATCGCGCTGGCGACCGAACCCATGGTACAAATTTTCTTTAAATAAAAGGAAAAAATTGGAGCGATAAAATATAGAATGATTTACTTTTAAGCAAGCCAATTAAGGCAAGAAAAAAAAAGAGTTCGTCAATATTTACGACCAGGTCTTTTCCTGCGCGTATATTGAAAGAATGATAAACGACTTCCTCTAGAGCCAAAACTTTCTTACTTATGTATGAATCTTGTTTTAAACTTCATTCTATCTTCTGTAAACAGCCGGATTAAATTGAATTTCGGAGAATTTTTCACAATGATAAAAAGTACATAAGTTAAAGGTTAATTTTCCTTTTAATTGTAACGTATTCGAAAGAGTCTCATGTTCATAATATTACATAGAATAATCCTTTTAAAATATGATCACAGCTTTGCTTAGATCGAGAGGGAGCCTCCCAGTTCACGGAAAATCACAATTATGCTTCAAGCGACAACAACTCGGTCATCGGTTTCAAATTTACAACTTCTATAAATGAAAATTCTTAACCTACCCCACTGTTGTCATGGTAACTACTGCCCACCAGAATGCATCAGGGATACTTCTGAACTGGCTCTTTTTGTTGTCTTGTTCCGCGTAAAAAACTGCACTCGCGAACAGCACTACTCCAATCAAGAGGAAAAAGATGAGCATGGCCAGTTCTCTTGAGCTTGACCGCAGCGTGTAGCCAAGGACTTGTAAGCCTTTTGAATGACGTGAAAGTTTAAATATACGGAAGACACGGACAAGACGAATAACTCGTAGCACAGCCAACGAGGTTACGCGGGCTTCGTTCATTGGAAGCGTAATGTAGTAGGGTAAAATCGCAACAAGGTCAATGATATTCAAAAATGTGCGAATAAAGACCAACTTTTGCGGTGAAGACAATAACCTGACAACATACTCAAGGGTGAACCATGAAATACACAGAATTTCGATTACAGTGTACCACATTTTCTCGGGTTGAGGGGTTCCACCGTATGCTTCACAACCAGTTCCACTTGGATCAGTCGCACATCTTATACTTGGTAAAGTCTCGAGACAGAATACCACGATAGAGAGTAAAATCACAGACACTGACCACATAGCTAAAAAACGCGCCGGCATTGAACTGTCCGGATATTCGAATAATTCCCATATTCTCCTTTGAGTTTGGTTTGTGGGCAATACTGGTTTCTCTTCAGTTATATATCCCTCTTCGATCTCTAACCGCTGAAGATGTTCCTTACCAAGTTCAAAAAATCTGACCTCTTCCGAGAAAACATACAACGGAACACCGCTTGGCCGAACAAGTTTGCCATTAGACTGATAAAAAAATAATATGGCCTCAAACGATGAGCGATTTCTGTCGAAAAAATATTCATTGTTTTCGATGTCAAAGTAGAATTCTCTTTTCGCTGCACAACCGAGAAGTGTAGCCGGGAATTGAGAAAGCGTGCGTTCGTAGGTTTCAAACCTCAGGCCGCTAACATTGATAATAATCCTTCGTCCCTTATCATTGCTTTCTCCTCTAAGACATGGCTTTGGGGCCTGAACAGATGAATTGTTGCTCGCTTGTTCGTTGATGTGATTCAATCCAGGATTGATCTCCATTCGCTCTCCCAGATGGCAATAAAGCAATTGGAAAAACGAGCAATTGATGTCCTTTTAAGTCTCTGAGAGGTATCGCATAAATTCAGCGAACATGTAATTTCGTTGGGACGAATCGCTTGTCAGATCTTCATCGACGCAAACTCGTTTAAAATCGAATGGGTTGATGAAAGATTTCTGTTCGCTCTACCAGAGTGGGCGACATTCAGCAACGACATGACAGGTGCTAGGGTGAATACTGTTTTTATTGTTTTCTACGCACTGTCATTTTAGAATTGTAAATTTAAAGAAAGGCCACATGAATAATTCAAATAGATTAATGTATTCAGGAGAAGGAGATTTTCCGGACAAGTTGTTAACTCGTGTACATTCGAACACACCGATAAAGAGCCGACACGGTATTAATGATATAACTCAACTTAAAGACACTGGCCATTGCTTATGAAAATTAAGAAACTCTACGAAGCGGTGCATTATTTCTTAGCTTCTGTCGAATTTTGTTAGCCAGGAGTTCTTTAAAGAAAGCTAATGAAATTCACGGGTGAAAAACAAAAAAGAGAGGTACAGTTGTTGTGTAAAGAGAATTTTGCATAACAAAAACGAATTAGAGCGAACATTATCATTTTAATGTGCGACCACATACTAGCTAATGCATTAAACCAAAATATACCTAGAACGTAAAAATAAAAATGTCATGAGTTACTGAAAGTAATGTAAATGCAATTTCCATTTTTGCGCAGCACATGACAATGTGTTACCACCGACATGGTAACTCGTTCTTAGAATAGATAAGAATGCAAAAACGACTTTTCGGAATCGTTTGCTTTTTATTCTGTCCGCTTAGGCTTCTCTCAAATACTATTAACATAAAATATTTACTTGATGGTACATCTTGTCGAAGATAACATCAATAATTACAAAACCTCCTCATATTCTTATAATTATAGGAATATTTCAATATGTACTGTGCTCACAAAAATTATTTCAAATCGCGCCGGCGAAGAAGCTGTTTGCACACGTGCCGCGAAAATCAATATTGTTATATCACTTATTTTTCGTTCCTTTATTTTAATTCAAACCTTTTTATTGAGGAAAGATCGACAGCCAAATGTAATTATTGTAGAGAACGGCGGTTTATTTCGAGTAGGTGAATCAATTATTCATCACGACTCCAGGCTAATATTTATTCCTCAATTTATGAAATACTCCGCTTGACCAATTACTGAAATAAAATTTTCGCTGTTGATGGCTTTGTGGCATGGTTATATGAAAAGATTAATGTCTTTGGCTTGAGACTTCTCGATCTTTATTGTTTCTTTCGCACAAAGAACCGCAATTCGAATGTTTGGCGATAAAGAACGTAAGTTCATTTAAACAGTGATCGTGGTTTCACCATGATAGCGACAAAAAGAAATAAAACTCAATGCGACTTCTATTTCAAGCACGTTTTTTCTTTCTTTCTTTTTTTTCTTGCAACTGTTAATCTACTGTCATGCTAATTCGAGGAATTGTTGACCGAATAAAACACCGTCCTATTTCACTGCACTTCTGTTAAAGAACGATGGCGGGTCTTAATGCAGTCCCATTGAAACTTTTGAAACATGGGGTTTCACTCTTTCAAGAGCATTCTGAAATGTTTCGCCGTCGAAGTTCATCAAAACTTTGTAATATGAAGACAAACATTCACAGCGAATAAATGTGTAAATTAGTATACCAAAATTAAAGAACAGCGCTGAGGTATTGAGTTTCTGCTCGTAATGTGATTCAGATGTGGTCGCTGTCAGCAACTTAAATTTCCCATAATTTTAGAAATCAATATCAAATACAAGTGACTTAAAACGAGATTACATTTTCATCAGCGAGGTTTTTTAAGTCTTCAATATTTCATAATTTCTGGTGAAGATAAGAGGATAGATTAAATAAACATCTTCCGTTGAGATTCGTGAGGCTATGTAAAAAGGGCGAAATGGGGTGTCAGAAATAAATGTTTTCCTTACACTTTTTACCAAAAAGAGCGAACGCAAAATCTCTAACATTCTGTAGTGCTGAAAGAATCTCCTAATAACAGTATGTGGGTTTTTTTAATGGTCCATTCTTAAATTTGTCATATCTCAGTTCTAGGTAGCGTTTTAGACCGAGACAGCGATAAAAGAGAGTTGTATTAAATTGCGACCGAGCAAATCTTCCATCGTAATGTTGAATTTTCGCTGCCTGAGAAGGTCATAATCTGAAGAAACTGTTTAAGGGGTACTTTCATGGTTTCGACAAAAAGCTGTGTAGGAGGTTCACGGAAGAATAAAACACGCCCACACGATACAATTAAACGGCGTCGCGTGATACAAACTACTGAGATCAGCCATTACGCACTGATACACAGAAAATGCCCCTATGTATAAATACATCTAACAACGTCCGACATAAAGAGGACTGGATAGAAATAAGGGAGTAATCTCAATAGAAACCATCAGGATTATAATATGGAATCGGATTGGACCTTTTTTCAAGTTACCAGACCGCTTGGAGTGCGATTTCACTGCATATAAATACAGCTTGTAGCATTATTTACAAAAACAAATAAAAAATAGATCAATAAAATTTTACCATCCCAAGCCGACCTTTTCTCAATTAAAAGAAAAAACGAAAAAAGTAAATCATAGGATGTTTCTGCGCGTTTTATTTTTGTCCAGATTTCTAAAATTTCTAACCTAAATTACAGTACAAGTGTAGGAACGGAACTCGAATACGGCGATTCTTGATGAACTGGGGCGTAATCAGGAGTCTCCGCTGCAATATACTAGGAGTAAGGTTTATATTCAGATCCCTTTTTCATGAGAATATGTTTAAGCCTAAAATTTGTCGCAGTTTCTTTATTCTTATGAATGAGAGATCTAATAATATTCTTTTCTTCAATATCTTTAAGCTTTGGTTAACCCTTTCAACTCTAATGGTGTGCAGCATCTAATTTCTCCATACAATATCACCCCTGAATCACACATAAAGGTCACGAGAATAAAGACAATGATCACCAACTGAAGAGGCTCTTGATTTTTAAATAAGTAATCCTTCTTAGTAACATTGGAAGTGTATAAAGAACAGTACGGAAAAAATACAAACTGATGCAAGGGTGCAAAGCATTGAGGGAAATAAAACAGCTTAAACACGGTTTTACGCGGTTTTTGTTTGTGCCTTGCCTGGTTGCGATCATTTCGACGCGACATTACCAATATTTCACATCAAAATTATTATTTTTCTTGAGAAAAATAGGGCCTCGTAAGTAACCTCAACAGCGTAATTTCCTACACCAAACACCAGTTAGAAATAATCTTCGGAGACCAGTTAAGACAAATCAGAGTTCTTCACGGCGGGGGTTTCTCTTGGGAAACATGTTCTTCGCTATTAAGGACAGGAAGTCAATAACATCCGGCAAACTCAATGTGAAGTCAAACAAGGTTTCCAAGAGATACAGTAAAATTCCGAAAATAAACTCCTCCGTGTATAAGCCCCCCAAATCTGAAACGCAAAAATAACTCCTAAAATAAGCCCCTCCGAATATAAGCCCCCGGGGGCTTGTATTTGGAAATTATCCTCAATTATACAAACCAAAGCAAACTACACATAATCACCATTATCAGGAAGGCTTTATTAGTCATAAAAGAATGATTCCGTGCATTAAAGCCGTGTGGTCAACAAGTGTTGAAGTTTATTGTCTTTTACGCAGTTCGCTCCTCACTCGCGCCTTGAATTCCTTCAGTCCGTGGACAAAGTATTTGCAAGGAAGTTCGATCCCGCCACCCTGAACCCAAATTCCCTCTGGTACTCCTCGCTTTTCACCTGTTATATTGCGGCGATAGATGGAATTGTTCTATCTTTGAGCAGGGGAAAAATCTGTGGCAGAGGTTCCCGGATGAACCTGAGCCTGAACTACGTTACCGTTTTTACTGTATTTCTGTTCTAATAAAGTTTATTGCCGTTGTGTTTGAACCTAGCATTTTCAGAGTGATTAATTTGTTACGAATTCCTAGCCAAAACCTTAATATTACCAGTTGCACATTCAAAAATGTTGACACAAATTTCCCTTCAATCATAAGCCCAGCCAATTTTAAAACGCAAATTCCCCTCCTATAATAAGCCCCTCCGAATATAAGCCGCTTCCAAAAATAAGCCCCTCAAAAAGGTCCTTTGAAAAATATAAGCCCTGGGGCTTATTTTCGGAATTTTACGTTATTTCAGCAAAACTTGAGAAGCAAAGCCAGGGATAGGAAATAGTGGTCCGTATTAATACAAGGGTTTCGATAATTACGTAATGTTTACAAACAAAAACTTGAAACACGGTAAATTCCTTGGTTTATTTTCATATCTGTGATCAGTTATGCCTTGAACAATATAGAGCGGTGAATCCTTGTTTAACCTTAACGAAGTTCAAGATTAACAAGTAATGTTTCATTTTCCGATTAACAAGCAACAAAATTACAAAGAAACCTACTTCCAGAAGCTGCCTGCGAACACAGACGAATTTTTGCATAATGTAGTAAAAATCACACGAAATTCTATCCATATTCACCAAAAACTTAGCCAGACACACTACAAATTTATGTTTTTAATACTTCTTGATCAGACTGCCTTCGTTTGACATGGTGTCACCCTAAAAGATGAAATGTTGAAATCAGAAACTCCCAATGGAAACGTTTGCGAAGTAGGTAATAAAGCAGCAGTAAGATCCTCTCATTTACAAACTAGCCTGTATCAGGCACACCGTTTGTGTGGGACCAGTCTTCCCAAAAAAACGGCCAATCGATTTCGGTCCCTCGCTTCTCTGGTCTAGACCCTGGCACAGTTTATCTCCCAACAACAGTCGGCGCCAACGCCAATAACACTATATTAACTCTTCCACCAGTTTCCAAACAGATTCATAATGAAAGCCGCTTAGAGCCCCCTAGTCCGGGTGCTAGAGTGTAACGCCTCAACCGTGCATGTAAATAGCACGGTGGTTTGCAGAATGCGAGTTAAGGTTTTACCCCATGTTATTTAAGCTTGACTTTGGTCACATACCTCTGATTTTTCGGGTGGAGCTGGTACCTTTTCAATAAGCACAAGACTGGGCAACGAAATGGCTGTTTTGATAATTTTGTTTAACGTAACAGGAGCCGCGTCACGGTGTGTACCATATCAAGCTGAAGGGTGTTAATAAAGTTTTCTGTATGTGTGCGTTTATGAAACGTGAACCCATAATACACCCAACAATGCTGTGTTGCCTCATCTAAGAAGATTGGGTGACTATTAGTTAGTATAGATTGTGAGAAGTACCTTAGTTGAATGCTGCGTGGAATTCCTTTGTTTCCTGTCCCTCTCCAATTACAGTGATTGGTTGAAGAGGGTTTGCAGATTTGGTTAGGTAATTCTGTAATTAGGACAAGTAAATGAGAAAGTAGTAAATTCTGTAAGAAGACATTCTGATTGTATCGTCAATTTCTAATCAATACGGGTTATGGCATTTAACATCCCATACCACTTTCCACCCATCAAGAAATATATCTGATGACGCCTTCAGGGCTCGTCATTTAAAAGCTTTTATCATGTCCCCCCAAAATCACACTTGAGTTAGCACGTTTGAACTGACACAGGAAAATGTCTCCTTTTGTGTAATTATCGTCCACCGAGCGAGGTTAGAATGACAAATTTAAATATGTTATTTGATGACTTTTCATATCTTTTTTTTCACTCAAAAGCCCTCTCGTTCGTTATAATCCACCATATATATTTTTGCTCGCGCGTGATTGGTCTGAACGCATCTTGTGATCTAGTATGCCCCAGCTAAAACTAAGGATGTTTGAGGATACACCACGAGTGATTCAACCCCAATTTTCTAACCCTGCGTCTAGTACGATGAAAGCGTTTGTTTTAGTAAAATTCAATTAACGTTGAAAGAGCGTTTAAGTATTGTTTAAGAAGAAGGGACATGTATGTTCGTTCATAAAGTCATACCAGAGAACACTGAAAAGTAAACATCTCACGCAAAAAACTGTAAACTGCTCGCAAAAATTTTCCCGCAAGTTACAAAAATTTTTCAAGGATAGTAAAAATGACAGTCTCCATTTGGCGCGAAAACATGCTCGTATATTTGTCCTTGGACAAATCGAAGTTCAAAGTTTTCCTCGAGCTTCGCTCCCGAAAACTGTTCGCATCTCGGAACAGATAATGTTTGCGGACAAATATGCGTACATACTTATTATGCCAAATAGAGGCTATTGGTCATATATTTCCAGTTGATACCATTTGCGATACGACAAATGTTACGAGATTTATATTATTTCAAAGAGGTAATAGCTCGAGAACCTAACAAAAGACAGTGCTCAGAAATACTTACGTGGGCATAAGACAAACCATTCTTCTTTTCATTTGAGCTTGCGCCGCTCCCAACCCACACATAGCAGTGTTTTCCAGAATCCAAGATAAACACTAAAGAGAAATTCAGAAACACACAAAATTAAGGGTACGAGAAGTAGAGCATATGTCGACAGCGTCATGCATACGACAGCGCTTAGTTCAAACCGCAGTTTCAAACAAGAAAGAAGTGAAGGGGGGGGGGGTGAGGGTGGGGAACTAGCTGAGGAAATGTAGTCCTTTGTAGATATCTACTTAAAGAGAATTTCGCGAATGCTAATGGCACTTCGTTCGTTCTATCAGTTTTCTACCCATTATTTTCAATCTTTTAGACGAAGGTTTATAGAAAAAGGCGGCCTACCATCGTCGCTGTCCAATTGACTCCTTGTTACCCTCCCGCGAGCAACTTCAGTAAACTTCATCTCACCGCTTTCCTCTGACAACCTATAAATCATTCAAGTCAGTTCAACATGGCGTTGAATGAAAGTGATCATGAAATACAACGTTATTGCTACTCTGTCATGAACTGGCTCAATAGATCTTTCTGAGGATTAACAATGGCAATATCAGTCATCAAACCTCAGTAAGGATTGTGCCTCCACTATTCTGTCTGACAATTATACGCTGAAGGCGATGTGAATTTTGTTGAATAATCCCTGAGACGAATTCGAGAGGATTATTCAACAGTGTTCACTAAGCCTGGGGTGAATAATTGTTTTATTATAATTTTTCAGGTGCTTTCGAATTGTTGTAAATTCTGTAAGTAAAGACAACATAGCGTATATTTCGTTAAAATTCTGTCATTACTCGTATCAAGATGGACAAACAGTTCAATAGGTTTATTTGATTTAATCAGCCAAGTCTTCAAAACTTTCTTTGAAAAGTGTTCCACCAAACTCGGTACATTTTTTGGCGCTCTACGAAATTGAATTTTCTTCTATCGCGTTTATCACCCTCTCGGAAGACTGATAAAACACGAGGCCGCCATTTTGAAATTTAGCACTCCTGTCGCTATGATCGCTACGCGCGAGCTGATTCTGGAGAGATATTACACAATCCTCGACCAATTAGAGCGCACACATTTCTATAATCACCTAGTAAGCAATTATACTAAACAAGTATACTACTAACCTAAACAACACCTTCTCGTACCCAGGATCACTATCAGTCTAGATAAAAGAAAAGTTTGCATCTAATTATTTAAAAAACAACAGTATCAGTGAAAGTCTCTCCAACGTGAATACCAATGAGGGTGGGGTTAATTGGAAGAAAACACGTGTAAAATGTCCGCGTTTTTATCAGAACTGAGTTGCTTTGCACGTTTACGTGTAAAAGTTTTGAATGATGAATTGCAAAGGGTAACAAAATTGTGCATTAAGAGTAATCTCTTGTAGCCAAAGGAAACCATAAAAAACGCCCACGAAAGGGAAAAGCTACCACATGGATTAGAGTGATTATCACCATCAGCCCTAATAGTAATAATAATCAAATAAGGCATGTTTTTCCTTTCGAGGTTTTGTACTCTCGTTTTCGTCCTTATAAAAGAAAAAAAAAGAAACACGTATAGAGATCACGTTGAAACGGCGAATAAAATGACTGAAATATTCGAACCAGTCAAGAGGGAATCACTTCAATGAAAGAAATCAAGAGCATTTTTCTGAAAGATTAGGCTCGATACTCTCATTAACTGGCACGAAAACTAAGTAAAGAAAGGTCAATATCACTTTTTGCTGGTTGATGTAAAATCTTCTAAGCTGACTTCCAGATTCTACCCGAAAGATCAATCAACAAATATGATTTAAACAAGAACTATTTTTTTCCGTAAAAACTATGGATTAGCAAAATGATGTTACGTTATGAAAAAGCTGACAGGAAAACAACCTTCAGACTGCAGATATCACATGCAACCGTAAAAATTTAAAATTCAAACGATGTTGTATACACAATACCTCATCTTTTCTCGTAAAAAATTTAGACCTCTTGGTTCCAGGCTGTCCTTCCTCGGGAAAGACTTCCAACAACTCCTCAGGTATTTCAGCAACCTTACAATTATCTGATACAGTTAAATATAACACTATCAACGTTATATTGACATATTAAAGATTATTAAACTCTGGATCTTGCATTTCTAGTGTTGTGATAAGTTCACTTAACTCCGGTTATCGGCTCATATACCGAATAACCTCTGAAGGAAAATGATTCATCAGATGAATTTTCTTTTGGTTAGAAGCAAACACTTCTCCCGTGGATTGGATATAACGTAAAACGATGCTAAGTCATTGACGTCATCTCCGCAACAAAAGTAAAAGCCACAAAGAATGAAATAACACTACTGAGAGGATATTGCTAGCTACGTGCCTTACACCTTATTGGCTATCTATCATCTCAAATCCAACGCACTCTCATGGAATAATTATTTATCATTACCCCTTACACAGTAATCAACAAAACAATCTGTGTTGACAGTGTTGACAGACAAGTGCAAATTAATCATCATCTTTTAAGTAGGAACAATTCTAAATTTATATGAAATATCTGCAGTCAGTCAATGGAGTAATTTGCCATAATAATTGAGAAGTTTTGAACAGTTCCCTATTTAATCGATCGGATACTTACCAAGAACTTCCACAGTTGGTTTACCACCTCGTTCAGACTGAAAGACAAAAACCGTATAAGCATTCTCAAGTCTGAAGATACAAGTCAAAGATCGTTGCTAATATCAGGGTGGACAGACAGATTTCCCTGTAAGGGCAAGGGAGTATCTTACAGTAGCAAAAGAAAAATAATGAAATAATAACAATAATAATAATAATAGTAATGATGATAATAATAAGCACAGTTTCTTTCAAAGGGAGGGATCTCATGTACCAAGGGACTTTTCCATGCCATGCCCTGACATGTACCATCTATAATGGCATCAAAACTACAAACTTTAGCTTACTTCAAATCAATATGGTTATTCTAATAAATTGCACAGTTTGAAAATTCAACAATTGACAGAGATAATTTAGTGAGAATATCAGCATACTTACTTTTAATTGCGTTACACATTTTCCTGCTGCAAACCTTTCATTCATGCTGCTATTATCACCATTCCACTACACAAATAAGCCAACCATTTCATTAAAGAATTGTTGGAAACTTTTATGTCTAACTCTGAACAGAGAGCCATGTGCTAATCATGACCAAATTCATGGCAAACGTAATTGATCCTCTTAAAAATACACACCAAGACAACATAAACATTTATAAAATGCTGCAAGATGCAATTGAAAAGGTGACATGATAAAAGATTATCTAAACGTGGGTGAATCAATGGGTAAAATAAGCAATTTAAATCAAATCTTACAGGCTCTATTCCTATCACTCTTTATTAAATGCCTGCTCTTTTGTACATTTCCACTAGTCAAGAGCCCGGCACAGACTAGCATTGGTTGAGAACCTACAATATTTAATATAGAAACTAATACAGGGCTCTTCAGAACATGTCTAACATGTTGTAATGAACTGCAATTTACCTCAATTGAATGAGGATACTCCTTTTTTTACCTAAATATTCCATTTTTTTTTTGGGGGGGGGGGGTGGTGGGGGAGAAGGGACAGAGGGGCTGATGAAAAGAATAACACTGAATACTGAAAAAGTTGAAGGTCTGGATAAGTGGCTCACTGAAAGGAATCTCATTTGAGCCTTTATGGAAGTTAAAGAAATTATTGTTACATCCCAGGAGGGGGACACTAGGGTTTGCAGTATTGGAGTTTTTTTCTTGCAGTATTTTGGTAATTTCAATATCCAATTGTGGTATTGAGGTATTCTCCAAACAAGCTGGATACCATTTTTTTGCATTTTGGGTGGTATTAAATATCATCCTTCAAGTCCTTCACATTTTTTCATGCCTTTTCCAGTTTTCATTTGTTTTGGAAACAGGTTGAAATTGACAATTACCCAAAGTACATTCATAAACAAATTCTTATTTATTATTGCTGTCTTATTTGCTCTGAGTGAAACATTAAGAGTGGCGGTTTTTAGCATTACAACAAGTTTTGACCTTATTGTGGTATATAACACTTCTTTCTGCAAAATAATGGTACTTGCCTAATTTTTTTTGGTAGTATTGCAGTGTTGAGAACCCCCTACTGTTCCCCTTTCCAGGAATGTCAAGCACATTTGAGTCTACTAGTCTCATTCCTTAACCCAACACCACATTTGGTATGCATTCTAATTTTTATTTAGCTACAAGTACTTTACAATTTACCTGAAATATCTTCAGTCCAAGGTCAACAAGGAACACATCATCATCATTCAAGTAATCTTTCTTAAACTTCACCTCTTTGATCGTCACTTTCTATCAGAAATGAAGCAGAGGTGACAAAAATTTGCTTTCCATGTCAAATCATTCCCTTGGCACCGATTAGAATTCTTGTGGGTGCTTTTTTTTTTTTTTTTCAAAACAATGCAGATGTTATTTGCTCTATAGCTGTCTGTGATTTTTCTTATACATTTGCATATTTCAGCTTGGGTTGTATTAACTCTTTACTCCCTAACATCAGTGATCATATTCTCCATAAGTTGTCCTATATATTTCTTAAGGTAATGTCAAGGAGAATGTGATTAACAGTCAATAGCTTCTTCAGTTGGTGATCATTTCATTTATTCTTGAAATTAGGTGCTAGTCACTCTTAGAGATTAAAGGGTTGAGTAACAAGTATGGCTAGTGTTGCTGTATGATTTATTAATTGTATCAGCTTGTCACTTGTCACAGTGGTTTCATGTTCATGCAAGAAAATGTTACTGGTTCCTTGTTCACAGAAGAACGAAACTTGAAGATCTGATCTCAACTTCACTTCCATCAGATATGCAGGTTAATCCAAAAACAAGTGATTCCATCTTCAACAAATGGAGTTGTTCAGATTGAATGAGCATTTAGTCAAAGTGTATAAAAGTGCACCCATTTTTGTTGGAGACTGTTGATATTCCATGAACACTGTAAAACTACTTTAGGTGCACTGTTCACAAACTATAATTAGAGTTGACATAAAGAATTACATCATACAAAGGAGGGACCTTACCTTATTACCAGACACATGAACAAGGCGGGGGACATATTTCTTGGGTTCTACATGACGGAATCCTGATTCAGCCCTACAAAGCATATCATTTTAATAAGTAAATCATAATTTCATACATGCAAAAAAGAAAAAAATTTAATCCACATATTCTTATATGATCTGCTCTCAACACTGAAAATTTGCAGCCCCCTAACCACCTGACTAGCAACTTTGTTAAGCACTCTTGGTTAATAGTATGAATGGTGCTGTAGAAATATAAATTAGTATATGCCCAAACAAGTGAATAGTGATTTTTGTATGCGTTGATTGGCTGGTTCAGAAGTGAATAGCAGGAACAAAACCATTTTTCAGCATATTGATGGAAATAAACTAATTTTAGGTATTTGTCTGGTATAAACTAAAACAATTATTCACCTCAGAGGCGTTCACATAAGTGGATTTTAACCTTGATGCTTGGCAGCTCAGTCAATATCCACATGTATTCACCTTCACTTCAGTGAACAACTCTTTTTTATTATTTTATTATTCTATTATTATCATTTACATCTTATAAGCCCTAAATTAAAATGACCCACATCAATTGATTTATTGTCAAAGTAGTCAGCTACTAATTGTCAAATAGTATTCCATTTGATAATTCTTCTAAAAGGTCTTGACGGCAACATAACAAATACTTCATTCTTAGAAAATGCATTATTCTTTTGGCTACAATGATGATAAAAGTTGTGCTGATAAACCATGTTTTAAGAATTCAAAACATTCTGCAATTTTAAGAGGATCCCATTCATGTTTAAAAAATTATCTCACCTTAACACAAGAATGAGTATTTTAATTTAATTTTTAAAGTTTGACCTTTTTCCACATACCCTCCTTTCATTTTAGAAATGGTTTTGAAGTAGCTCTTGAAGAGTGGAGACTCATGATCCATTACTTCACGATGCTGGATAGGTTTATCATCCAACTAAGGAAGAAAAAATTGACAATATTGCCTACATAAAAGCATGAAAATGCCAGATTAAAAAAAAGATAAATAAATCTGTATTCTTTGCTTTCATCCTCATCAAAACAGAACAAACTGTGTATAGATAATTCCATCAAATACTTTTGCTCACAGGCAATTGGTGCAAATGCATCACAGATCAAAAGGCCATGGTTAAAACTAAGAAATAGCCAAGGATATAACTTAACTGATATTCCTCACTTTCAGAACCTTACATTTACAGCAATAACAGAATTTATTTAAAATTTAGTTTAATTTGCTGCAGCTGATATTTTTACTTGAGAGGAGCTAGTATATGTTATACATTCCAAATTTGATGCATGTACAACAAAAGCACTAATCTCAGGTTTTCAACCAAAAGAACCTTTAAAAATTGTAGATTTAGTTCTGACTAGTTTATCACACTTATTCTTGTATCTCTCTCAATCCAGGAAGATACATTTCCTTCATATCTCGACAGTGATAATTTGAGATTAACATTAAAAAAAATAGAAGGCATTTATTCATCCTCACATAAGTGTCTAGTTCAACTGTTTTATATGCAGCTGTTCCATACTCATCCTGGCTGGAGTACTTGCCAATATAAAAGTGAACGTCATGGTCAAGCTCCTGATAAATCATAACAACATTAGTAAGGATAAGTTACCTTAATTTGTAACCTTGACAGAGTCAACAGCCCTGAACAACCACCTCCCACAAGGATAGGGCTAAAATAGGACCAACAAAAGTGTATGCAAACCCTGTTTGTAACAATAAAATTATAATTCTTAATAATAAAATAACCTGGTAAGCCTTAAAAAACTAGTGAGACAATGGTGTTGTTCTTAAGTGAAGAACCCCAACATCAGTTGAAGCAAAACTATCTGTGCCCCTTTCCTGCAGGGCTCAAAATTTATTGGGCAGATTAGCACAGCCCACCAAGAAAGGGAAAGTTGAATTGAGCAATTCAGATGCACAATACAAGGAAGAATAGAGAGAGAAAGTAAGAACCTCAATGAAAATGGAAAGACAGGTAACCCCAAGTTGTTTATTTATTCAGTGCACTTAATTCATGGGGATCAAGGATTCATCAAGACAACCAAATTCATTGGTTTGATTGCTTGGCTTTTAAATAGGGACAAACTGACTTTATCCTAGATTTCAAGCACTGTTCCCTTAACACACACCACATTCCCAAATGCCAAAATGTTCTTGTGACTGAAACTACCCCTAACTCTTCACACTATAGCATCAGTCCAGCTCCATACCTTTTCTTCATATTGGTCTCTATACGTCACAGGGAACTTACATGGATAATTTATTTAATGTCATGAGCTATTTTCATCTGCAATCATTTCCTTTGCTCTCTCAAACTTTGTTTCATTCACAAGTGATATGGCGAGGAAAAATTACATGCTAATCACTCTGATAAGGATCAGAGGGTTGTAGTGAAAACCTCTTACATCTAACCATTGCCCTGACTCCATCACTACCATTTTCAAGGACTTAAACTGACCAACGATGAATTTATAAGATGTACTTTCAAGAAAAAATTTTGCATCAGCAGAATTCTCTGACCTCACTATTAGGATCCTTTTTGTACGTATTAAGAATGATGTACGAGTCTCCATCATAAAATCTCCCATAGTCCTCCTTGGGCCAATCTACCACCTGTGGGTACAAAAGTCACAACAATTTAAAATACAAATACACAAGAGGCCAAAATGCAGTTTAATCAACAACATATTGTCATAGGGCTTTATGTGACAATGTAATTCATCTGAGCTGTCAAATGTAACCAACAGATTTAAGAACACAACTCTTTATGGAATGTTAGTGAACTATTTAAGCAACTATTTGTCGAATGCAAAACAAACATGAATAATGCCCCAAACAAAGAGGATTATTCAAAAATATTCACAAGGCCTAAGCTTAAAAATTACTTTTGGAAAACTGTGCTGGTCATCACCACAGAAAAATCAATTTTTTTAAAAAATTTATTTGTTCCCAAACATCACACACATCAGAGAACAGAGATAGAGAGATTGGTACAAGAAATTTCCAGCGCTTCCAGTAAGGCTTGAAGTAAGAGGCTACAAGAGTAAAGTATACAAGTTAAGAAGTGACTACCAAAGGTACAAGCCTCTAGGCAAGGCTGAGGGCATGCAACTTTGACAAGAGTGCAAAATATCACACCATTTGTTATTCAAAGCTGTCAGCTGCTAATCCCCAACTTATCTGATTAGGTATCTAATTGAAACGTAATATTTTCTTTCCCTTCCACTCTAGTAGGTTGTTTGAACCTGTAGACAAATTCTTCGTTGTTCTTGACAAAAAAAATTGTAATTCAATGATCAAGTTCCTGGTTAGTAAAAGCTAGATGGTAGAAGATTCATGGAATCTCTGTCGTGGCTTTCATCTCTTTCTTTGTAATCTTGACAAATTGAAATGTTGTCATTTTGAGATTTAGCTCTACCGCAATAACCACCTTGTACGTGGTGATTATTGCAAGATATGATGCAATCCTGGCTCAATCAAAGTGCACATTTCTTCATAATCACCTGAACAATTGAACAATTCACAAATAGCTGTAAATTAATAACATCTTAGCAAAATTCCAAATTAAGATCAATTCAAAATAGACCAACACAGTCATTAACTGGAATGAAGAGCTAGAACATTACTATCAATATTACAATATTAACCACTAATTTAATAGATCAGGAAAATTCTGAGGAAAGGAAAAGGAGAATTAGGGCTGATGGAAAAAGTTTTGGACATTCACACAAAAATGGCCATAGTGTCCTCACTAGCATCCCTATACTTCTACAAACAATGCACCTTGAACTATTTTAGTTCAATTTTTTTTTTTCTCAGAACAGCTGAAAACCTTCCCCTTCAAATCCATTTCTCCGTTAATCTTCCATGTTAAATCTATATTTGTCCATTATAATAAGACAGAGATAGTTGGTTTAATATTATCATCACGGAAAAAAAAATTCCTACCTGTAAGCGAACATTTTTTACCCAGAACCTTCTGCATATTGAGCCAAATTTAGCTATTCGATCACTACGAACACCTCAACTTTAGTACCATATAAGGTAAAAACTCCAAAGCTCAAAAAAAGTCTAATTATCCTTCAGATGACAGAGGTCAAAATGTCGCATGAATTTAAGGGTTATGTTTGATTGCAAAGAAACAGTAATAATCACGACTACATCATTGTTTGATGGATAAAAAGTATTATTATGATTGATTAGAACATCACGCGAAGGTGTATTTACAGAAACATCTCCAGCTGAGGTTTATTTCCAGCCGAGGTTTGACATACATGAAGATACAGCTCCGACCACACAAGAAATTATGACTAAAGAACGTAAACTAAGCTTAATACTCGCCTTAAATTTGACAATTCTCCAGATCTTTAACTCAACTCTTTGACCACAGCCCTTCCACGCTTTTTCCTCCATTGCTGAACTTTTCTTGACCTACCAATGGATAGCACAAAAATAATTATCAGAGAATAAAATCTCAAAGCCTGTAGCAAATTTCATACTTATGCTGATACACCATCGTGCATAATCGTGTATTTCATGTCTACTTATATGCTTATATTTTTATATACGATTACATCTCATTTCGCGAAATGTCTCTCTTGTCACTTGTCTTCAACATTGTGACCTGTGACTATTGGCTTTTAGGGACGTTTTACAGCATTATAAAGTCAAGATTCAGATAAGCCTAATTTGCAACTGATCGAAGCTTGTTTTCCACTGTTTGCATTTGTCATGGTTGAAATAACACTGCATCGCTTGGGCGGCGTATCTCTTCTCTGTCGACAGTTAGGCAAGTTAAGCGAACCTTTACGAGACATCTATCGTTTGTCCACTGCTACATATTGATAAGACAAGGGCAACTCCGGCGGAGCGCTGACGTTTGAAAAATCTTACATTTTTCTCGACGTCTGAGCCGAACAAAGCCAAGTTTGAGTCCTTCCAATCATACTTCTTAGCCTTCACAAGCCCTGCCATACTGAACAACACCTCAGTCTCCAAATGTAAGGTAAACTGTAGCCTGGCGCAAATAAAGGAGTTCCCTTCGCTACGAAGTGCCAAGACTGTATTTCAAGCACAGTTATTGGTCGACGCCATGCTAATGTTGATCGTTGCATAAATATTATAATTCCATAATCTGTTAATCATTTACATATCTAGTTGTCACGGTCACACACTACAATAAACCCAGAAACTGGATCTACTTTGGTTCGATTCCAAAATAACAATTATTGATCGAACGCGACGCTTACATGAATATGTTGAAAATTTGCTTCAACTGAAATCGATGCAAGTCCCTTAAAAATAACATACACATGAACACGTATTTTAATACTTTTTGTGTTAAACATTTTAAAAAATTTAAAATATGCACACGAAAAAAAATTCAAAATGAAATTCAAGAACCGCCCCTTTCAGCTTGGTGATTCTATTAGAATGAACCACTGAAATGGTTTCATTGCCAGGTAGGTATCAAATTTGCTCCGCATCGGGCGCGAATGTATGCTCATATATTGCGTTTGTCCCTAAATATTCTCTCTATTAAGCAAAAACAGCCTACTTTAATCAAAATTCAAACGAAAACTTTCATCGCATCGTATCGGTTGAAGTTGAAGGCTTGTTTTTAATAGATCAATCGCCGGCGACATATTTTTCATTCATGAAGTTTTCATTAGTTTCACAACCGTAGTCGGGTATTAATATTTGATTGTGGAAAAAACTGAGGAGAAATTGCAACCAGCCTTACACCCATCTCTGATATAAATCTGATCTTCATTTGACTCGCGAGCCTGCCTCGCACTTGCCTACACTCACAAGGAGAACGCAAAAAGTAGCAGCCGTTTTGGAGGTTACTACTGTACCCTTCGAGTCCATCACAATCCCTGATAGGAAGATGGGCCGATACTGACTCGTTAAACTTATCTGGTAAAACACTACTAAATCATCGCTGATACGACTCTTTTCCAGCTATTGAGGCCGAGCAGTCAGTATCGATAGTCATAATACACAGAGAGCAGTTCCTACGTTGATAGTTCCGATTGCAGAGATATGCAATGTGGTATGTGGTGACTGGGAAACATAGGCATACTCTTCAGTGGGCTATGGGGCGGCCGCACTCTTCTGGCAGATATCCGCATGACATTGGAGAATCTGTGGAGGAGAGAGGAGGCGGGCCAGGTTATATGATAAGGGAGGCTCTGTTGTTGGACACGTAAGCTTCTTTTTGTCACTCTCGATTTTCTCATCTCGTGGAGAACAATTAAGTGAGCTCATGCGATAGATAGATGCTTTAAATATGTGTGGCAAAGAAAATATCACACCATTAGGAGGTGATTTTAATTAGAAAATTATCCCAATCGGTGGCTCGTTGTTCAAAATTGTAAACGTAAAGTTGTTACTTTAGATGGTGGAGATCACTGGGGCAACTAATGTAACAGAACAAAATGTATTAGCGAGGAAAAGTTTGACTTCAGAGGGGTCGATAGGCTGATTCATAAGGTTAAGAAATCACCGAGAGTGATCATTAGGGAGCAACAGGTTTGGCCGTTTGAACTGTAAAAGGGTTAAAGCACACTGCTTCCAGCCGGGACCAGATCTCGTATTTGGTACGTAGAGACCAACATTACATTAACCCCTTCCTTAAAGCGGAGATTCTTATGGGCAACGAGGAAGCAATATGACACCAGTCATTGATCGTGCCTTCAAGAAAGTTGGCAACTCGAGTACAGGAAGGGTGGTTTATGTACCGGCGGAAGCTTTCATTATGATTCAGCTAAAGTGTGCAGGTTCCTTAATGATCTCAACTGCTTGGCTGTTCGGATATTTACAATGGACTTTAAGCAAGGCGTTTGATTCTGTAAGCCCCCAACTTCTCGAAAACAAACTTAAAGACACCCTCTGAATCCTTATAATGTCACTTGGTGGTTGAATTTTGTACAGGACAGAATGCAAAGGGTTGTATATAAAGATACTAAACCTTACCCTTTTAGAAGGGTATCTTAATCCAGTGCCCTACCGGCACTTTTATGTATACCCGGCTGCTTGATGTTTTTCAGATTCTTTTTCTAGACAGAAGAAAAGGAAAATTTAAATTTTCTTTCAACTCTTCTTAGTTAGGCCTTTATGCGATATGTTCATCTACGCATTTGAGAAAGATAAAAAAAAACACAAACAATGTAGTAACTTCTTACGAGCTAAGAAGACACACAAAGATACTTTGATTGCATGTACAGATGACACGCTTTTCTTGATCCTTAAAAATCCTAATGTCTGAAAATGAAAGATGGAAAGAGATCAAGTTTCTAAAACCCAAAGTTCAAAACCAAAGGACGAATGAAACTGAAAACGTTATTGCAAAATTTCTCTGAGATATTTTAAAATAGAAAAAAATCGGGTACAAAGTGAGAATGTCTGATAATTACATTTAGCCTCTCTAACAATAGTAATATTAAAGTAAAATGATTACGAAGACAGTTTTAATGTGATAATGATGATGATATTATCAATGATAAAGAGAGGAAGAAAGAGAATGACTTTTCCACAGCAAGTGCAAAGGCTCCCACCTTGTAGAGAAAAAAACAGAAGGTAACTTTATGAGAGTTCCATCATGATCTAGCTCGACCATCCTTTCCTGTGTAACTCGTAGATCAGCGATATTTCATTTAATTTATAACGCCCGTCGAGCCTAGCGAATAACGAAATCAACCTCAACCAACCCGCTTCCGTGATAATGAGCAAAAATGGTTCGTATGTGTTCAAAAAAATTATGTCAATACGCTTTCAATTCACAGTTTCAGTGGCGTTTAGTGGAAAAACGTCGCGTTGTTAGATTATAACCGTAGCTGAAGCCATGGTATACTTCTGTTACTCAAGAGATAATCAGTTCTTTGTGTTACGCGAACATCTCGCGTCAAAATCAAGCCGCTTCGTATATGAAATGATAATAAAGGAGACTTTTCATTAGTGAGTTAATAAGATGTGTTTGGCACCTGCGTATCTGTATTTAATATTGCTTTAAGGCGCTATATTTCAAAGAAAGTTTGGTTGTTGTTTAAACATGTGAAATTATAACCTCTGCAGAGCTTAATGTATAATAAAACTAGGCAAAACTTTCGAGTCATCAAAACTTCTCTCGATTTAAAACGTCCTTTGCCTTCGGCTTCACGTAATTTATCCTTTCTAATAACCAGAGCTCGAAATATTTTGAGAGATGTTCTTTTGAGAACTCTTAATTTCAGTGTTCAAATCAAACAGTTTGTTTTAGGTATACTAATATGAATAAATAGCACATTCATCAGCTCAATGCAGGTTATAAATATGCGTTTTGGCAGCAGCATGCAGGTGCCATGAATTGTTAATTGCTGTCTCACTCTGCTGCTTGTTTTGTGGCCCTGGACAAAAATCTTCCAGATACTCGTTTAGAAGACAACAACAAGTGCAGGGGTTTCCGTAATCAACAACGTCAAGAGTGAGAATTATCGTTTATATTCAAGAGTTCTGCGCATTTTAAAACCATCATGTCTCTATTGCAGTTTCGAAATCCAGGGTCTCTTAAACACTTACGTTTTTCTCGGTGTCACTTCCAAAAAATTCCAAGTTTGTTTCTTGCCAACAACGCTTCTTTGGTTTGATAAGCCCCGCCATCATACTGTCGAGAGCAGCTTCTTCCCGTTACACTCCCGACCGTTTGAAGATTGTCAGAGTACTTTTGACGTTCCGCTTTTTTCTAAGCAGCAATTTGAAATCGATATGTTTTAAACACCTAAATTTAGCTGATCCATCGCCATTCTGATTGGTTCATAGGGGATGTAAATAAATCATGACACTTCAGGGTGTCTTTGCACCTGGGTTCGCGCATATTTTATATTTCCCACTTCTGCTTGGCGATCAATTGACATGTAAATTTTATCTCTCACAAACAAACGCCAATAGCCTGGTTTTCAGTGAGTTCGTTCAGTTTGCATAGTTGATGGTCGAATATTAACAAATTTCTAGTTTTAAAAGTCAAATTCAGAAAGAATTAGAAAGTGAGGGTAAACCTGTAAGCTAAGCTGCCATGAGATAAGATAAAGTCGAACCCAGTCCGCTCGATGAATTAGAAAATTGTGTCCTTTGGCATTTTGTGGTAACGACGGTATATACTTCATACCGTAACGACGCATTTTTTAGTAACCTACACAATTTGTAATAGCGGTTGCAGCATTTTTTGATAACCTACGCATTTTGTAATACGTATTACAGTATTTTTTGATGCCGGGTGAGGTAAGCTACCTATTTCCTAATAATCGTCGGTCTACGATTTTGTATCATCATCCAGCAAGAAATTGTAATAATGTGTATCTAGAATCTTGCAACACGGTATTATTCTACAGATTGGGTATTTGCAAGTTCATTCCTGCAAATGATAAGTCAAGCACCAGTTATGGGGATTTATAGAAGACAGGGATACATTACTTAAACAGCTATCACAAGTTAATGATAACTCTCAGGAAACATTTCAACAGTTGTTCCGAGATATCGCCCATACATCGGCGATATCTCGGAATTAAGAATAAAGCACAGTATTCGACGATAATCGTTTGATTTACTTTAGCACAGTAGGTTATTTTTGTGGCAATGTCGGGATTATTGCAATCTGCATCAATATGTTGTCACAAATGAATTAGACCGACGATTATTACTCAATGCTGCAGCCTTTATTGGAACCGCTATTGCATAATGCATCGATTACAAAATGCCGCAGAACAGATCCCCTTAGGGGGATCACGTGGTTTTCAGAGGGACGGAGCGGAGGGGGAGGAACAGTCGTCGCAGAGTATATACAGGGACCATAGAAAATCGATTTTCAATTAACTGCCAGTGAGGAGGGGACCGTACAGATGTTACAGAGGCTTATGAGGGGATCAGCACATTTTATCGCGACAAAACCAAACTCCTCCAGGAGAGATTTAGTACAGATCCAGTGACAAAACTGTACATGCAATATTTTATAGGAGTTGGAAGGTATGTGGGCTGTAAAGGTCTGTAAAGCTATAGACTGTTTATGTTATGAACGCGCGATTCACTGTTGGTTCAAGTATAAGCCATATCAACGCAGTCAGAAGTTCTTTGTAAGGAGAAGACCTCTCAATATTTTAAGCTGTGTTTTTCCTTGGTATGCTGGTCTCACAGCAGATTCCCCCGCTCAATTTCTACTAGTGGAATTGAGGGGGGTTGGGAGGACGAACTACGTTAGCGGATGTGAGCCGGGAGTTAAAATCTGCTAGGATACCAGCAGGAATTGTTAGTAAGCTGATCTTTCATGGTGTCGAATGCCTCCCCTTTGTCTCCCGAGTTAAAATATTTTAGAAGAACGCTAAGTAATGAGCATGACAACGGTTCCTTCTCAGTTCAATAGTAAAGCTTTGGAAATAAAGCCTACTCGAGTCGTGATCTTTTGAAAATATATCTAAAATCCTGCTCTGTCGCAACCTCTCTAACAAACTCATAGGCCCGTGGGTTGTCAAACTTCTCTTTGTTTGAGGAGATTTTCACTCGAGGAGGAAGTTTAATGGCGTTTTCCCTCTTCCTCTCTGTTAAGGCTAAGAGACAGAAATAACTTGTTTCCTTCTCCGGTCTGAACAGACAGGAAGAAAAATTGAGTTTCATCAATACACTGCAACACTTCAGTTAACACTGTAATTTTATTACGTTCTTTTTTTCCCCCAGTGTGTAAGACTACTTTACGCGAAGTATTTGACAGAAATGAATCACTGAAAGGCCAACCAGCTTAAGCTTTACTAAGGCTTCACTTGCTCACAGCTACACTTTTGAAATACAGTGAAGCTTTCCTAACTACAGTTTCAGTCATTTTAGCCAAATAAAGGTTTGATAAAAAAATCACCCAACAGCTATGAAACTTACGAAAACCCTGGCGTTTACAATCTAATTGGAATGGAGGCAGTCCAGGAACATAATCTACGATCGTCCGGCTGCCATTCAGTCCTTGAAAGTATGCTGAAGACAAAATAGATGAAATAGATAAATACCTTTTTCTTCCCAATAAACTCTGTGATTACTTCTCAAAAGTTACGCCACCCTTTTAAAAACACCAGACACAAAACTGCGCTGAAAAACCTGATTTCTTGTATTTACTGTCATTGAATTTTTTCTTTACGCTGGTGGACGTTTGTTTGATAACTGATAGTTTTGGTTTTACGATACTCAAAGGAAAACACTATAATATTACTGCATTGAAAAACCATACTATTAAAAAGAAAAATTTAACAGGTCACTTCGAACCCATGAATTTTTTTTTAAAAAATTTGCCTCTTACGACTCCTGATATAACCAACCAACTGAGATATGTAACCAAGAGGAAAAACCGATACGGGATACTCGAGGGAAAAAAATTAACGGGAACGGAATATTAAAGATAAAGGTTCCAGGATACCGAACTGTAATCATAGGAAGACAAACTACAGGAATTAACGGGATGAGGGATATCTCGGCCAAAAATCAATAGGATACGGGATATTCAAGGGGCCTTTGACCTACTTAAATGTGTTACAGAGCTACGCAACTCTAAAAAACCAAACAAACAATCAATGAATAACGGTAAAGGCAGTTTATCAACATTTAAGTATATTCCGGCTAACCTTGTCACTTCAGAACAAAGCATCAAATTTTGGACATTTTTGGCCCTCCTTCACAACAGATACTGGAACGAGGGGGTGATTGGTCTTCATCAAGTAGTTCTGAGGAAAATACAAGTAAACTGATTTTGTTACATTTCACCTCATTTATCCGAAGAAAGTGAGCAAACAAAAATTACCGACCAACATAGACTGTCTAAAAACAACCGGCAATGAACTTGGAAAATTTTGGGCTGGTGTTCCAAATATTTTTCACCACACCGCTTTCTCTAAAGTCGAAATTATCACCATGTATCAGCTGATTTGCGGAATAATTGTTACCTATGCTTGGGTCCAATTTTTCAACATACAATTTGAAGTAGCTGAAGGAAACAAACAAAACCCCTACTAAATGGCCACATCTTGATAATATGGCCACACTTTGGCGTTCAAACATTAAATGGATTCAAGGATGATGAAATAAAAAATGGACGAACGGACAGATCAGCAAATGCATGGATAAATAAGCAAATGATCTTTTATTTGCACCTCCTCTCTACATACACACATACACACACACACCCCACTCCTGCAAAGAGAAATGTGCATATGAAGTAAAAAATGCAAGTTTTAACTGGATAAGAAAACCTACTTACATGTGCATATTCCATTCCTTTACGCCGCTCGTCAACACTGGCCCCATTTCCCACCCAAACAAAGCACTCTTTGCCATTGTCAACAACAAACACTGCAGGCGAATGAAAAACATACAAATGTAACATGCTGTCACCGGTTTTACTTTCAGAGGAAACCAACAACTTTTCGTTGAAACTTTTACACCACTATTATTGTGACTAGTACTCTAAGACGGTCTCGTCAAATTCAAAATGAATAGAGATAACGAAAAAACTTGAAACTAAATAATTATAAGACACTAGCAAAATACAGCAGCTGTTTCTGGGTAGAAGTGGAATTTGGAGTGTTGGTTGTTTTGAGGTAGGGTGGAATTACAGAAAACTTCTTCATGCTAAAAGTTCTACATCCAAACTCCAAGCACAGGTAATACCTGTCTAAAATCAAACCCTGGCCAATGCAGTAAGAGGTAAGCTCTTGTCACTGCACTAAGATTGTTACTGTGAATAAGTTGATTTCACAGCTTTTTTGGGGGTGGATTTTAGTCTCACCATCTTTGCTGTCCAGCACTGACTTGCTGAACCCAGAGGTATCAGTAATTTGTAGATGACCACTAGCATCACTTATTTTCTTGATGGTGGGTTCAAAATCCTCATCTCCTGGTTCCTTTAAAAACGAGCATTTTGATTGGGGATAATAAAACAAAAAAGAAAAAGGTAAAATGCAGATCATGACAGTTTAAAACTAAAAGGTACTGTTAATCTTTCTAGCAAAAAGCATAACTTCACTTAAGGTGGCTAGAAACAGTTTTCCGAGACACCTATCAGCTATACCGAGCCACTATGTCTTTCACTAGGTGATTCTACATGGTCCTAAATACTGTGGCTTAATTTCAACAATGGAGATAGAAAGAATGATACTCGACTTTAAATACCCAAAATAATAGGAAACAAGAAAACTAGTTACGACAAATCAAGTGTCACCTCAGGATTAGAGATGACAAGGAAGGGGATAAAATACATTGAAAAAAAAAATAGAGTTGAACCTTGACTAACCGGAAAAGTGACAACATTGTTTCAGTACATGTACCTCTGCTTTGTTTGATAACTGGTTTTGTAATGTGCCCAGAAGACTAAACTAACCTCAGTGTCTGGAACACCAGAGGGAAGCCCTCCATAGCCACCTTCTACAATTAAAAAAATCAGCAAGCATAATTAAGAAGCATTCATAGTCCATTGTCATAGTAACATAATCGTTATGTATAATTAATTAAATGCAAAGTGGTGTACTTTGTTTTACTTGGTTGTCTCTTTTTGACAAACTTGATTTTTTTTTTAGCATTTTCACTAACATGTGTTAAAAGAAACTTGTATACAGCTGGATTCCTACACAAAATCCACCAATGTTGCTTTAGAGTGTTTTGCTTTTCTGGGATCAAGACAGCTGGTTAGCTTTTGATCAACATACAAATATGACTTCCTGTAAAGTTGTGAAGTCAAATAGTAACAATTTTTACATTGATAGTGATAAATGCTTAACTTTGTTGTTTAGTTTGTTTCCTTTCTATGGCACTTGCATTGGTGCAACTTGAAATCAGGTGGCTTGCCACAGTTTCCAGAGTGTTACGAACTTTTGGGGACATTTCTGACCTTTTTTCTACAGATTTGAACTTAAAAGTCGAATCAACTGTTCCCTGAAGTTGAAATTTTTCTATAAAATATATAAACCTTACCCTTAGTCTCCGTTTTTACATTTCCTCCTCGTTCACTCTGCCGTAACAATAACATTTAATTAGAAAGCTAATTTGTGCTCTAGAGCCTTCTTATCATAAAAGTTACTTTGATTTAATTTTTTTAAAACTAATTTACAATAAATGTTTTCTCCTCAATAAGTGATTTTCATTCTGTAGCCCTGTCATTGAAATCTCTTTCCACACTCCTCCTTTCTTTGACTGGCAAATTGTGTTCAAACCATTGAAACTGTCAAGATTGAAGGATTACATACTCTGGAACAATGCATCAGGGAATTATGGATATTAATGTTGGCCCACTGAAGCAGTGGAACCTCGCCCATCAGAGCTCTGCTGTTGTACTTGTCGTTATGATTATTGCCTTTTCACTTGACAATGAGATGACAATGGGGTTGAATTTCTCCAAAATTAGGTTCTGATTGTATTTTATTGTCCAGATTAATTGGTCCTCATACCTTTGAACAAGAGTGATGCATGTTGACAGTGGGAATGTCATAATTGCTCTCATTTTTTAGCACTGATTTATCTATGCAGTAATTCAAGTTGTAAATGTCAGTAGCTTTTAATCAATAATCAGTCCTTAAATAATTTTGTAAGTTTTCACCTTCAATTTCTGAATATGCTGAACAGCTGCAAATTTCTCATCCTTGTCACAGTTTGTACCATTTATCTGCAAACAAAGATGTAATACCGTTAGTGTTACAGACCTTTTTCTGTATTTTCTACATAATCCTAATGTCTGAAATGAAAGTAGGCCAGGCTGAAAAGCTAACTTACATACACATAATAGAGTAGCAGTTAAATGTGCTCTGAATGTAAGAAGTATATAAAGTTGACAGCTTTGTCTACATAAATAGCTGCACTGAACAAACCAAACTTTAATTTTTTTGTTTTGTTTTTTAGGCTTACTTTGGAAGAACACTTAAATGGTTTTCTTCCTGTTGGTTTAGTCTTTTTAATACTCCCTATGTGATTGATACAATGCACAGATGTAGTCACAGGATGTATTTTGGAACTAAAATCAAAATACTACAAAGTGAAATAATAGAGTAATAATATGTCCTTTATTTGATTGTTTAACATAATGCATGCAAACATTTTCCTCATTGCTTGTATTTTTCCTTGCCCCTTCAGGGCATGCAAAAATACTGTGCAACCTGCAAAATATCTGCATGTATTGCATGTTGAATCATTTACATGTTGAATCATCGAATTAAGTGTATATATTTTGCAAGTTATGAAGTGTTGCATTTTTCCCAGCCCTATAGTATAGGGATGAGAAAAATTATGAGCAACAAGCAAAATATCAGCCTGTAGTACATATTTAATTATCAAATAGGGAATGTATTGTTCAGTTAATTGGGATTCTAAATTTGAAAGATATCCTGCAGCATCATCTGTGAACTGAATCAATCAAGTAAGCTTTATGCAAAAGATAGAAACAACTCAAATGAAACAATTAAAAGTGACCTTAACTGCAAATGAAGAAATCTGCTTTACTTAAAGGTTTGCCACTTCAAAAGTTAAGTTTTAGGGACATAAACAAATTGTTTTTCTGTACTTCTCAGTTATAAGGCGCACTCAGTTCAAGAAACACCCCAAACTTAGCAACTTAGTCAAGCCAAGTTCCCAAACTGTAATGAGAAACATAAAATGCATACTCATTTAACTCATTTATTTCAGCCTTCCTGCTTAGGAAACATGCTTCTATTTACAAAATTAAATAATAAATATTCAATGATCCGAAAATATTCAGCTATAAGACACATCAAAAGGTTGAGAGTTAACAAAAGGATGTGATGGAACTGAGAACAATTATCCCTACACAACTGGCATGCAAACTCTTTTGTTAATGTAAATAAAAGTGAAAAAGTCTTGCTTGTGAGAAACTAAAACCTATTACAAGAAAATTTGGTTAACCACCTGCAATTGTTATGTTAATTGGCCACCGTAAAGAGTTTCTAAATGTTGTGAGAATTAACCCTTGTCAGTGTGAAGGGAGGGGCTAACACTTGTAACATCATAACATGTTGTCTCTAGATATTGCAGTGCTCAGTGGATCAATTCCTTCACCTCCATAGTTTCAAAAATTTGCATGTCTAAAAGAAGGTTTTAAAGGTAAGGTGCTTTAAAGTAAATACTATAATGTTGAAATAATTAAGTGCTCCATACAAATCAACATTAGTTTGACCTAACAACTGAATCTATTAACTAAATTTACCTGAACAATTTCCAAACCATTGTCAATGATGTAGACATTGTCTGGAGTAATGCTTTCCTTACAATATGTCACCTCAGTTATTCTGACCTTGTTCCTGCCCTGAGAGCAAATAATTCAAAAGTCAATCAAAACATGTACATCTCTGTGTATTCTAGCACTACATAATTATGTAAAGATATAATTATTATTAATATGTGTACACACATTTTCAAAAATGTTTCAATTTTAAATTATATATGAAATATATACACCTTTCCTTTTCCCCTCAAAACAGTGTTGACAAAATGAATTGCAGGGACACTTTTTTGAAAGGAAAGCACAACTGCTACTTGGTTTCACCCTTGAATGGACAAAAAAGGTATTGTTCCTTCAATGTGAAATATACATGCATCCTGCATCACCTTTTCAATTGGAAAAGAATAGGTATGCATATTTCATACAAATAAATATTTTCAAATTGCAACATTTTTGAGAACAGGTGTATATAGATGTATTAATACCCAACATATATTCCAGTTAGGTGGGGTGAGGATTCTGGGGAACTATGTGCCTCATTTCATTATAATCCTCAACCTATTATTGTGTGTGAAGTGATTACCAAGGATTTCTGGAAAATAATTATAAGGGCAATCATATTGGTAAATCAGAGAAAAACTACAACTTACAGTAGAAATGTTTGCAAATATGGTTCAGACAGTTATTGAGCATGCAATTCCAAGTACAAAGTACAATGATATCATAATACATAGTACAATCTGCAGAAGTTTATTTACCTCATCATTAACCTTCAACAAGCGAGGCTTGTACTCTTTTGGTCCAACACGTCTAAAGCCAGAATCAGCCCTGCACAAAAATATCACCATGCATCATAATTGTTATCATAAACATTTATTTATTAGTATCTGTTCAGAGACAGACTGAAAAACTGATGAAAATCATGTATCAATCTGTATTGATTGAAGCTAGCAATATTACTTTTATTAACTGTAATTAATCATGTTTACTTAATAACTTGCTATATTTTATGTAGAAACTTGATCTCTGTTTAGTACTCTAAGTTAACTCATAGAGAAGCCTTGACTGTGCTCTGTTCAGGAAGTGGCTAGAGCATGAAAGAAGTGTAGGGAGAAACATGAGACAAAGTCAAGTGTTTGTCCCCACTTCTTGAGTACTCTAGTAGCTTCCTCAGTGGTTTACAACAGAATAGAGCACATTCAAGGCTTCTGTATTAGTTTTATAATAAAGAATCTGTTAAATTCCTTACGCATTGCTTTCAATTTTCAAAACAAACTTTCTTTCCAAAGCAAACAACAGTGTTGTCAGCATGCTCTATACTCTCATAAAGCACACTACAATGAGCCAATGAGATTCCTTGTTAGAATGGTTCAAATAATCTGATTGGTTGAACAAGACTAAAGCTGTCAAAAATATCAAACCATCGAAGTTTACAAACCATCAAAGTTCACAACATACAGTTGTTTACAAATTGAAATAGTTTGGCAGGTCAAATTTGACACTTTTACCTGAAGTTTTTCAGTATCTAATACAGAATCTGAAAGTGAAATGTTCAGTGAAATCCAGCTGAATTGAAGCTCATAAAAAGACACAAGTTTTTCCACATGATGAGTACAAAACAAACTGCTCAAGGCATGTTTTTTATGAATGAACAACAACCTAATTCACAGAAATATAAAGATTGCTTGGGACAACAGCTCTGTAAAACTCAGCTGCTGTGACTGACTTGGCTTTCAACTCAACACATCCAAATAGATATCAGAGCAAGCTCTTAGTTGGTTTTGAGCACAAAACTATATATATACTACATGTCTTGAGTGTTAGCTGTTTTTGATTTTTAATACGGTACATAAGCTTGCAATCTACTGTATTTACCCGTGTATAATGCACACTTTTTTTCTGTAAAAGTAACCATCAAAATCGTGGTGTGTATTTTACACAGATTCTATTGTTTGTCAAGCATGTCCTAATTTGCATACGTTAAAAACACAAGAAAGAAAGAAAAATTGTGCAGATCAGTGGTTTGGAGAGGAGAAAGAGCTTGCTTGTTTACAACTCATTTGAAGCTCATGTGACAGATACTGTGAAAGTGTCCTTCAAACGCAAGAACACTGATCTTGCTGTGATTCCTGGTGGGTTAACTTTCCTTCTCCAGCTGCTCAATTTATCTTTGAACAAACTGTTTAAAGATGGAGTCCGAAAGCAGTGGATGGCTGATGGCATTCACAAATTTACCGACTCTGGATGAAGAAGGCTTTGGAGGGACTGATCTGTTTGTGGATTTTGCAAGTGTGGAAAGCCATTCCGTCAGAAATGATCACTGCCTCTTTACTGAAGCGTGGGATCACAAATAATTTGGATGGATCACAAGATGAATTGGTTTACAATTCAACCAAGAACACATCGAAAACCTGTTTGAATTGGACTGCAAGTTGGAATTTGAGGGTTTTGTTGTTTATAGACACTGAACATTTTACTTAAATCAAAAGCAATTGCAATGCAGTGATGATATTCAAGCTACCAGCTATGCTGTGAGAAGTTGTGAATTAAGGTATATTAATGAGGACTTTAAGTTACAACATTTGTAAAACGTCTGACTGTTATTGAATGGCAAAGCTTGTAAGTAGGTGCTCGGTGTGTACGATGTTTGTAGTAGCAACTAGTTAGAAATTGTTGTTGCTATATTATTTATGAATTCCCAGCTCTTGTTAATTAAATGGTAAAATGGAAGTTTTAATTCTTGGTTTTTGTCTTGAAATCCTTTTTTTAGAAAAAAGAGGTCAAAAATGAGGGTGCATATTACACATGGATGCCCATTATACACAAGTAAATACGGTAACTGAGAGTGAAAACCTTCAAAACTCAGACTGTCTATTTAATTTTCTCTTTGAGGATTTTCGTCTCTGCTCACACTATAATAACCTCAATTACAGTGCTTGACAGGTTGACAAACCTTTGTTTAGTTCTTCAGTTGCTATTTGCCACCTTGCTTGTTCTGAAATTTCACTTTCAATTTAAGAAATAAACTAGGGAGAAGTCCGGAAAATGGTTGGACATAATACAATTTGACAGCTGGCGTGACAGCTTTAGCTCTCTTGCTCTATGTTCTGTACTCTTATGGTACACGCCATTTCAGCCAATGACAGCATGCCTTGTATCAGAACTTTGTCACAAAATATGTATAATAGTCTTAATTAGTTCAAATGTCAAATGTCTCTATCCTTGGTTGATACACACATACACATGGTGCAAGTTTCAAAACATTCAGCGAAATTGCCAGCTACATGTAAATTGCAAATTGACAAAAACATGTTGAACCAGTGATTTTACATGTGATCACCTGGTTAAACATCATATATGGGCCCACCCCCAAAATATTGCACACCCACCAACTAATAAGTGATGTTCTACTACAAGGATGTGCAAATAAACACAGTTAGCCACCTTGAAGTTTGAGTTTTACCATAGTAGCTAATTAAAAGATACTTGGTAATCAGCTCTACATACCCCCCATCTAAGGTTTGTAACTCTTTAAAGTAGCTTTTAAACAACTCTGACTCATGATTCTGGACTTCACGATGCTGAATTGGCTTGTCATTGAGCTACAGACAGAAGAAGAAAAATAACTATGAAGAGCTGTGATGAAAATAAAAGAAGTACAATTCCCTAAATTGTACCTTTTTTTAGCCATGAGAAAGCTTCAATAAAACACAACAACCAATCAGATTTCAAGGCTTGTTTAATTATCAAATTGCAGGAAAATGAAAAGACAACTTTTATAACTTTTTTCAAAGCAGCTTAGTACAAATATTTGCACAGACTAAGAAATCCTGTATTTGAACTACTGAATTTTGCAATTTCAAAATGGATTCAATGAAGTGGTATTGAACTTTGTGTCATGCAATCTTGGTCTGAAATCATACTTGTGATTTGAAATCAAACAGTCATATGATTCCAGACAAAACTGCACTTTCCTCAGTTCACCAACCATTATATACATTCCTTGCTGTCTAGCATTGCCCAAAAATCAGTATCTTTTCCTTTTTAAGTCCCAGGCAACATAAACACAAGTATAGGGAAGGACAACAAACAGGTAATTACAAGATATAAGTTGGGTTTACATATTTGGTCTTTTTAATTGATTCACAGACAGTAATTAAACAAAAAAATTAACTCAAACTTACTAAAGTGTCAAGTTCAACTGTCTTATATGCAGCTGTTCCATATTCATCTTGGGTGGAGTGCTTGCCAATCCAAAAGTGTACATCATACAAAAGCTTCAAAATATAAATAGCAAATAACACTTATTGGGTATCCAAGTAATCTGATATTTCCTATGGAAGTGAATGACTGCTTCACATCAGTTTTCATACCTCATCACTTTCTTTGTCCTTGTAGGTGTTGAGAATAATGTAGCTATCTCCATCAAAAAATTTGCCATGATCCTCTTTTTGCCAGTCAGTCACCTATAAAACACAATTCATTTTTTTTTAAACTTTTATTTTTTAGGGTCAAATCTACAAGGTTGAACCCTTTTTTAAATAGAACATTTATATGGCAGCCAGGATTCAAAGTTTTCTGCTTGGATGAGCCTACTGAGTGTGAAAAGTTTCCTGATCTCTCATCATTATTTAGGGTAGGACAACTATGTAACTGTTATAAAATATTTTTATCACAAAGAAACACAAACTATAATTAAGAATGAATGATTGATCTCATAGATCCTCTCTGTAATGGCAGGTATTGTTTAAATTAAACATGCTGTGAAGGCCAGAGAGGCTTATTTACATGTACATTAAAGAATAGCAATTAGGTTTGCCATTGACTCTTTCATCCCTTAAGAGTGACTAACCTCTAATTTCTCTTTACAACATCAACCCTGAATGAAACATTAAGGTCTTGAGAATAAAGGAGATGATCAACAACTAAAGAAAGTCTAAATTGTTAAACAAATTCTCCTTTTCAGCACCTTAGGATATGTACAGAGACCAGTGTGGAGAATATGGATACTGATGTTAAGGTGGGAAGGGTTAATGAAAAAGATCTACAGTGAGCAATTTCTATATTTTGAAAATTCCAATTCACATGGGGATTAAGTAAGGAATTTTCAAGTGCAGTGGACCTCCATTCAGGGGCCCCCCTTGGGACTGCAGCAAGTATCCCCTGAATAGAGGTTGGTTGGGGTTTTTTAATAATTAACCACAAACAAGTAGCAACTGGAACTGGTTTGTACAAAATGGACTGAAGCCAAAATGTCAAGCTCCTAATGCCTCCCTTTGGCCTTTATCACTCATGAACTGAAACTACTTTTGACTTGGTGGTTTAACTCTGGAAGAAATTGTCTTTTGTTTACTATCTGATATGAAACACAAGCCTTGGGAACAACTAAAAGTCTTTGGATGATTGCTTTAATTCAATTATGTTATGCAAACATTTAGTGCAGCTGAATCCATCAGTAATGCATCACTTCTGCAGACAAGAATAATCCTGGGTTTTTCCAATATATAAAACTGATAGAATTCACTGCTACATATCTTTAATTTCACCCAGTAGAAAATAATAATGAAAAAAAAAACTTGCAATCACAAAAAATGCATTCAGCGTTTCAAAGCAGGAGATTGAGAGGTTTGTTCAAATTGCAAAGCTGAAGAAAACTCTGTAAAAAAAGACCATGGTGTTAAAATGTACATACATTTCCAATCATGAATCCAAAAAGGATGTACAAATGGAAAACTAAAGAATCTGACTTGGCCAGGCAAAGGAAGGTTTGAATTGCAGCATCAGACTTTGAGAACATGTTCATATTGAAATTTGATGTACACTGGATATTGTCTAGTATTATTTTTGCAGACTGCCTGTTGAAAGTATTTCATATTATGTGATGTTGGATGGTTACCACCATTCTGGATCTTTCTGTGACTTTTTGAAAGCTTCCAAACAAACTCACACAGTGAGACCTAAAACACATCAAGATCTTTTAGATTTCTTTCAGGAAACTTTTACCATTATAAACCATTAAGTTCTGATAAAAACTATTGATATTGTCTCATCATGCCATACACCACATTTCCAGCAAAATAAGATTTTGAGTACACAACAACATACTGACTCAAATTTGGGTAACCAGTAACCATATGTCCATCCACAGGATGGTTTGCGTGTCAGCAAATGGAAGATTTTGATTAAAATAAATAATAAGTGACTAACATCTGATGCTCATTTAAATGGAAGCAATTTTATTCTGAACAGAACTTTGATTTCTTTTTTCAAAAAGTTTACCGAAGTAGCAATCTACTTCAAATGTTATTGAAAGCACTGCACTGTACCTTGTTAAAAGTTCAGAATTACACTGCAGGGTAGGGGATCAATTCATTATTTCCCAGCACCTTTTGAAACACCTCCTCAATCTAGAACATTCACTTTGCAGAGTTTTCAAGTCTAGTATCTCTTTGTTTTTCTTTGACCTGGAATTATATTTGTTTTGGACATATATATTGAAATGAAGGAAAACAAACCATTATCTTCACGACCTGAAGCTACAATTAATAACTTTTTAGGAATTAATAATCAGGAATATGAATAAGATTCCATTCAGTAAACAATATGAGCATAATCAACTCTAGAAGAGTCTTGTTATATTGTGCTTTATGGCTGTTTACCGATTGCATGACCCCACCCCACCCAGCCAATGCCGCCCACGTACATACCGAACAGTCCGCAGCGTTCCAGAACAAAATTTTACTTCGTATACGTGAGGGGCATGACTTACCAAACATTTTTCGTTAGATTTCTTAATTGTTTGTCCCTTTACGCACCAAAGCGACCAAAAGAAATTTTTGAGACTTCCGAATTCTTAAAAATTGATCTACCAACGTTTCAGCTGCTTAACTGTTTCTTTAGATATGCATAACATAAATCTCTACTGCCAAGCATCTAACTACCTTGAACTTGACGATACGCCAAATTTCCAAGCCAGGTTTCTCTCCAGCGCCTTCCCAAGCCTTCTCCCCAGCAGCTGCTTCTTTCTTCACCTTTAGGACACAAGGAAAGCATGGGTTTCAACAGAGAAAAACAACAGATACACACCACATATACATACTATGTGGTTCCGCTATAAGCAGAGTTGCAGTGAATCTATATTAATGATTCATAATGACTGCTGCGATTCTGCAAAATTTTTTAGCTCCTCACATTTTTCTCTGTATCGGAGCCAAACAAAGCCAAGTTGCTGTCCTTCCAATCGTACTTCTTAGCTTTAACTAGACCAGACATGGTTATAGAAGGCTTGAAATCCCAACAATTCAATGACACAACTCTACTGCGCGAAATGCAGCACACACCTATAATTATATATTATTTCCTTTTGAGACAGCCCATATCGAAGCTCCTTCATGATTGGCCGAACCGAAAAATTACTTATCACGCCTTCTTTTCACACTTTCAACATAGTTGTAGTTCTGCATATTTGTAGAGAGCTAGGACACTGTAATATCTTACTTTAGGAAATTATTCTCTAGAATAATTGAACTCACCTTAAATGTTTTGGCATATGCATGACTTCTTTCCACCACTGACCCCGCTGTTGTTTGGCCTCGTCACGCAACGCGCGCTCTTCCCCCACTTTGAGAACGCATTGCGTGACTAGACCAAACTGTGAGGGTTAGAAGGAGACAACTGACTCCTCTGGCTCTCTTTACTCGGTCTTTTCAAAGAAAACGCCCGAGTTGAAATTCTGGCTTCGTTTTTTTCTTCGTTTAGTTGTAAATCGCAGTCAAGTCCTCAACACGCATGCGTGAAGTTTAGCCTGATAAGCATATGGTATGGTGTAATGGCGGAAGAAGAGAAGTTTCTGCGGTGCAAAATCAGCACAGATGCTGTGTATAATACACTCAAAACGCATAAAAAATATGCACTTTGCGTTCGCGGTAGATCCACACTAATGCAGGCACAAAAAACAAAGTTTCTTTCCAACAGAAAGCCTGATTGCCTGATACCCATACCTTAGCCTTGATATCTTTTATGTAGAATTCAATCTTCCAGCTATTGATCACGGCCGGGATAGGCCGAGGTCATCTGTGTGATGGTCCGAACGCTGGTGCGAGCCTTCAGACAGCTGTCCATGTGACAGAACAGCTCGGTGTTCATGGTGCCACGTTTCAGAAACATTCAGTCGTTCTTAAATGAATTGTTTTCTCTGATTAATTTTTTTCCACAGTCGTTGATCTCCTTGGAGTAGTAACACGAAAGTTTTTTATTTGATTTATCAGAAATGCACCAAAGGCGGGTGCTTGTATGTGGCGTTCTGATTACATTGGCAGTTCTTTGCGTGGCTCCGCCGGTCGTCAGGAAAGATACAAAGAAACCAGACACTCCAGCGGAGGGGAAAGGCGATCCAGAGTATGCCAGATATTTAAAACAAGTTATTGAAATTTTAGAAAATGATGATGACTACGTTAAAAGATTACTGAACGCTTCTGAGGATGAACTAAGAACTGGTCAGGTTGCAGATGATTTAGACCTTGTGAAGCATGATGTAAGGACCAAGTTAGATGAATTAAAACGACAGGAAGTAGAGAGACAGCGAATGCTACGACGACAAATGAACGATCACTTAAACGGTCTGAAGGAAAGAGAGTCTTGGAACCCTTTGTTCGACGACGAAAATCCCAATTTCTTTGGCCCTGAAGACTTTAAAAAGCTCTTATGGAAGGTAATTTGAAGTTATTAGAAATTAATTTAAGGCATCTAAACATCTGCTGATCTCTTTCGAAAGAAGCAAAAAATTTTGGATAGCTGTGTTAATAAACTTCGATGATGTATTGAAACAAAATTTCGCGAGTAAACAAGCTTTACCCGCTTTCACAGTGGATGATATCTCTAATGAAAGCAAATCACCACTTCGTTACACTTTCCTTGGTATTTTCCAGTTACTATTACTATTACTGTGATCGTTATTGATGACTTGTACCAATATCAGTGAGGATTTCCACAAATCTTATGTCACGAGACAAACAGCGTCATACATTTGTTTTCGGATGATTACTGAGAGTCCCCTATATCCTTTTTAAAACTCAATACCGTAAAGATATTTGACTTTTTCACACCACGCATAATATCCAAAAATTCGACTGAGTTTGACTGAGTTTGGTCGATCTGGACGAGGAAATCTTTGGCTTGCAGTCATGACCCATGAGCCTTACTTTGTGCTGTTTTTAAGTTGTGATTTCAATACCTCCTCCTCTGGCCCTTCCTTACAGTCAAGAAGTATATAATGTTTTCACTTGTCATTTGGTATAAAGGTAACGAAAAATTTTTGTAACATGAAGCAGCTGTTAGTATTCTCACCCTGGGTGTTATGTTACTCTAATCCTTTTTTGAAGCCATTTGAAATCCATCAAAATAATATTTCACTTACTTATGACTTGTCTTGTCTCTTCAGGGTGTTTCTTGCCCTAGCCATAACTAGGAATTAATGGGTGATACTCGCCAGTTTTAAAACCTAACATCCAATAAACAATACCAGATAAAGTTTAGCTTGAAGTTTAACTCAAGATGGCAAATTTATTTTGCAGTTTTTACAAGGAAAGAGACTAGTTTGTTTGTTGATAAAGTTGAAAAGTCAACATGCTTGGCTATAGACACTCTGCATGTTGCTGTGGCTGCAAATTATTGATTAAAATAGATGATACAGTACATGTAGATGTAGATCAGTTGTAAACTTTGACTTCTGGTGTGACCACCAGTTCTCTCCATGTCAATATTTCTATCAAAACCCTTCCTTGAGTGGCGACTTTTCTAAACTAAGATTTCAACTTAAAATTGAGCATTTTGACTTTTGTTTCTCCTCATTTTCTTCGATTATCCCAAAGAAACATTTTTTTTGGTAACTTGAAATGAAACAAAGGAAGTAGTCTTGCTAAAACAAGATGGTTGTGTCTGCCATGTTACAAGGAACTGATTCTTACTTTTAGTTGTACATAGTCTAGTTATATCAGTCTGGTCATTTGCTTGGAGTGTAGATGAGAGTTAATAACAGCAATTACACTTCTCTCATACCCTCCAGACTTCAAATATGTATGCATCCATACCTTGAAATATGTATGCTGAATTTACACCAATTCTCAAGTGATTGATAAGATAAATCATCCAACATTCATACATTTTTTTTTCAAGTCTGTGGGTGCTAACATCAATTCTAAGTAGTTTGTGTAGTAAATTGTCCCTGTCTTTGAGAATTCCCATGAAGAATGAGGTAATCAATTCAAGAACATAACTATAACAGTTACTGTTTACAGCACCATGAAGAGATGGATAAGCAAGATAATCAGCGCAGAGATGAATTTAAAAAGCATGAAATGGAGAAGGAACACAAAAGGAAGGAACATTTAAAGGAGCTGGATGAGAAGGCACGCAAAGAAGAAGAAGAAAGATATGAGGCATTGAGAGAGAAACATCTTAATGCATCCAAGAATCTCCATCATCCAGTAAGTGAACATTTCAGGCACAAAATCACTCAACTATCCCCTGAGCCTGGACTTTGTGATTCAGAGTCCTACTTGCTAACCATCAGGCCAATGTATCTCTCTCCTGGCTAATCTAATATTTACAACTTAACACCAAATTTTTAGGGGTCTGCCATGTAGTGGTCACATTTGCAGGATGCTGTCAAATCAATATAATTATATATTTTCTAGGGAAGTAAAGCTCAACTAGAGCAAGTTTGGGAGGAAACTGATGGTCTTGATGCAAAGGACTTTGAACCAAGAACATTTTTCAAGCTTCATGGTAAGTATTCAAAAGTGAGTTTTGCTGAAATGGAATGACACAATCTTGCTTGACCTCAGCAGGTTGCAAAGTTTATTTGATGATTGGTGCATGACAGAATGAAGCCTGCCAAAATCTGTATCAAGTTTTCTCTATCAGGAAAATTATTTTTAGTTATCAGATACCACTGACCACTTACCGGAAATTAGCATCTGCATTTATTAGATAGTATTTTTTTAAGAGTAAGACTTTTATTAATATTAACTTTTATATTGAAAATTAATAATTATATAATTATAATATAATTAAAATTAATATTATATAATATAATATATAATATAATAATTCAATTTATATTGAAAACTTTTATATTGAAAATTAATATGGCTTAAAGTTAAAAACACTAAATAAATGTAATTTTTTTTTATACCCCAGTCTGTTGAAAGGAAACCAACTCCCAAACCAGGTTCATGAACAAGTTTTTTTGTCTATTCTGATACCTACTTGATCTTTCTCAGATACAAATGGTGATAACTACCTGGACACAGGAGAGTTGGAGGCTCTTTTTGTCAAAGAAGTAAGAACAGTCTTGTATCCCTAAATGTCATATGTATGCATGTTGTTTTAAACAGCAAGAACATTATTCTTGAATTACTGGGGCTGTTACTTCCAGGGTTTTGATTTCTTCAGTGATGAATTAACTCTCATTCAGTGGTTCATTTCTGGTATTTTAAGTACCTTTCGATGGAGTGGTACAGGTGTGAAATTTTTCATTAGGCTTTAAAGACAATATATGTATTTAAAATTCTTAAAGTTGAGCCTTGGCCAAGGCACTAATTGATTTTAATATAATTATGGTTTGATTATGTTTATTACTTGAATTTTAATTGAATTTAAGCCTCAGTTGCCAGAAGATATGAAGCAAAGAGGTTAAAAAACCATTACATAGGTTTAATAGTTAAATTAAAGTATTTGTTGAACTTAAGTGAAATGTAGTTCATGCGGGATTTTGTGTGTACTTTGAACTTAGGTAGACAAACTCTTTGATGAAAAGGATGAAGACTATGATCCTCAAGAAAGAGATGAAGAGATTTCAAGAATGAGGGAACATGTCATGAGTGAGGTAACAAGCTAGCAAGTCTAACCTTTATTTTTTTTCTTCTGTAATCAGTTTCTTTTCAATTGGAGCCCCAGGAAATGAATGCAATTTTATCTATTAGTGACCAATTTGCAATTATGTGCACTTTTCCACCAAATTGATTAAAAAGGAGGTGCACCTTTTTTGAATGAGTCACAGGTCATAGTGAGTTAAACAAATTTAGTGGTGGATAATTTCAACCCTCATTTAAAATTGCTCCATGTCTACCTTCCCAAAACACAGTTTTCAGTTCCACAGCTACTGTAGTTAATCTTTCCCTGGATGGGATATGCTTTTGGAAACCCAATGAATGAATCAGTGATTGATGAGGCCATGTGGAAACCGAAAAGCAGTTTATCGCTTTTAACAAGATTTTTTTTTTTCAAAACTATGCACAAATCTTAAACAATTGAATACTCTAACTTATACACACCTATTGATGGCTTAGAGTGTACATTTTATCTTCATTCATTTTATTCTAATATTGTGTCATGTTTATGAAACCCATTTCAGATTGACAAAGATAAAGATGGTTTTGTTTCAATTGATGAATTTCTGACAGCAAGTAAAGGTGATGAATTTGACAAAGATGAAGGGTGGAAAAGTGTTGAAGAGGAGCGGCCATATACTGATGAGGAATTAGCAGAGTTTGAGAAACAACTGCAAGAGGAGGAGAAAGCAAAGATGGCTACTCATGATCAAGGAGCTGTAGGAGGCAACACAGCTGGTGACCTTGCAAAGGTTGTTGTCTTCTTTAGACAAGTGTTTTATATGCAGAGGGTTTTTTTTAATGAAATTTAGGCATGAAAGCCAGAAATAATTAATTATCCAAAGAGAACCTAAATATATACCTTACTGAGACAGAGTGCTTTTAAGGGATAGGGTGCAGAATGTGCTAAATGAAACTTTGGCCTTTCTTTGAAAAGGATCAAGAGGACTGGAAAATGGACTTGTTGTCCCTGGATCCTTCCTCACTAGAACAATCAGCCAAGCAACTGTCACAGAATTTTGAGACGAGGTCATTTGTTTAAAGGAACTGTGATTTCATGTTGACACTATAGTGGAGAGATTAAGATGTAGATTACTGTTTTTATAGTGAGGCTTCAAGTAAAAAAAATTGAAGGAAGATGAACCATAGTTGATCTCAGAGTATACATACTCTAGCAGACAGAATAGGGGCACTTATTGGAATATGGGTGCTTAATATAATGAGAGTGCTTACACAATAGGGGTGCTTATTAAAATAGTGACACTTCTTAGAAAAAACCAAATTCAATGGAGCAGCTTATTAGAAAGGGGGCCCTTATTGGAAGGAGGGTGCTAAATCAAATCATTACCACAACTGTATTTGGTACATTTTTTTGTAGTTACAAAAATTAAACTTACAGAGCTATTTAACCTTCTTTGTATGCTGAAAAGTATTGCCAATCATCAGTATGTAGTTCAAGCATAGTTGTGTAATAAATTGTAAACAGTGTCACAAAATCAATCCCCAGGGACTGACAAAGTCACTTGTGCCTGGGGCATAATGACAACCCAGAGGTTCATAGAGGAGGGTGGAGTGATAATTGCACAATTGCTAAGTAATAAATGTCTTGAGTATCCTGAAAATATGGCTATCCATAAGCTAATTAAGGAAGTAGCCTAGAAAGAACATTTATATTGCATTTTGGGGTTATTTGGCTTTCAGCATTTTACCATGGTCTACAGTTCATAAGGAGGATAACTTATTGATATTGGTATTGCCCAGTTCATTACTGAGGGTTGGCCTGATGACTTCCACTACTCTAAGATTTCCTTAGTTTAACTTTGTTTGGTTGTTTTCTCTGATTGATAGCAAATAGTAGGAGCAGTAGGAGCAGCAGTAGAAGAACACAAGGAAGGGGAACAACAACAACAACATGATGAGTCACAGCAACAGCATACATCCTAAGGAACAGTGGAGCTGTTTACAGGAAAAAAAATACTACACCTTCATGGCTTGAAAGATGAACACTGTCCTCATTTATTTAAACTTGTTACCCATGTTTGTTCAGTCACATCAAGAATACTGAGAGTTCTTGTACCATTTGAACATTCTTTCTATGAGTAATACATGTATTTGTTCCAATATTATGTTCAGACATTGGATAATTCAATCTGACAACCTTTCACAGACTGGAAATTTTAATCACCGCCCACTCAATTTAAAATCAAGTGGAAACCTTTCATTTCTTAGAAAGAATCACTTATACCAAATTGATATCTGTGTTAGAACAGCAAAACTACAGAATGCAGGGCATCATTTTTGTGTCTCATTGGATCCCAATATTATAGTTCTGTTTTATTAATTTTGTTTTACAGGGGAAAAATATTGCTACAATTTACCTACTCTCTAACTTGTGGCTTATTGGCAAGATCATCACAGAGGGATAGTCAGATCCACTTTGTGCCTTTCGTATTTCCATAACCACTGATCACTCCTCTTATAAAACTACTTACTGTAGCATGTTATTTTCATTTTTTCAAAGCATCACACAAATATGAACCTCAGGGGTTCCTACAATTCCCAACAGTTCATCTTTCCAAACCAAGAGAATTCAAATCAAAAGATTTCATAAGTCTACAAACATCATTGATTACATTGAATTTTTTCCTCATTATAGTGTTAGCAAATAAATTTAGAGCAACAAAGTTAGTTCAAGAAATTATTTTTCTTTTATTACCAGACAATAAAAATCTATTGAATATTTGTATCTATCTGAGATGAGAAAATAAGCATCTTAATTATGGAAATATGTTTTCATTTGAACATGTCTCACATCTACTCATCAACTTTCTACCCTGAAATGCTATTCCTAGAACACTGAAATGTAGCAGTTTTAGGTGTAGCTCATAATCAAATTGAATTGGAAAGAATACCATGTCTGGTATGCATTTACCAGTCAGCATGTCCTTTAAGTTCACTTGTAATCCAATAACTAGCTTGTAGGTTTACTTGTGCAGTGGATACAGAACCCTCTGTGCAGTTTGTAGACCCTTTTAGTGTTTTCATTAGAATAAAGTATTTTGATTTAAACATCCACTCCATATGGTACCTTAATCTGGTATTGAGAAATTGGTTATTTAAAGCATAAATAGGAGAGTTTAAAAAAAATTAAGTTGGGGAGAAGGAAGAGGGGTGAATAGCTGGATGCTTCTTGGAGGGTATGGGGGGAGGGGTGTTCACTAAGAAACTTCAACATCTCTTTGCTTGAAATTGATGGGAGCTATAACCCTGCCCCCTAGCTCTGATGTCCCTCAACCTTCAAACCTATGGCAAAATTTCCATTACTAATGCACAAAAAGCTGTTATCAATGAAAGTAAGAGATAGAAGGACACATACACACACTGATGGACAACAACAGTGAAACCAGTGCACTGCTTCTCAAGTTGTTAAGATTCAGGGTTAGTGCAGTGTTATGCCTGTCTCTCACCAAATAGTGTGGTTTCCCTCAAAATCCAGGAATGGGCTCTGTTCTTACATTTGCTTGGACACTAATGATAGAACCACAATGGATCTTGACTCATTTTCTTACTGGGTTGATTGAGTCCTTTAACATTTGTTTCAATAGTCCTTTGGCTCAAAGAAGCGACCATTATTGCTGTTACATGTGTATACTACTTTTTCTTCTCGATGCTCTACAACTACAGCAACACTTGGGTCAGTAATAGGGAAACAGTGAAGCATCTTGATAATATTTTATTGGTTGAATCATTTGAATATTTTTATTACAATTTATTACTCTATAGATCATGGATTTATCAAATAATTTGTGACAACTAACCTCAACCCTTGTGTAAATAAAATAAAATTTCTGTGAAAATAAATTAGAATTACCTACATGGATTTGAAATTCAAGGGTAAATAATTTTGATTTGTATTTTGTGGATGCAACCTGACTGATTTTCACTCATCACTGTAACAAAAATAGATTCAGAAGAGAACATAGTCAGCACTGCAACAACAAAGAATGATGGCCACTGACAGGAAATTTATAGTAAACAATGCTCTTCATGCACCTCTCAAATAACACATATGCTGTTGGTACACATAAAAATAAATAACTGTAACTTCAACTATTGCAGGTACTATCCCCTCATAAAATAGCTATAAGTATCAGAATATGTGTAAGGATTCAATTTAAGTAAAACCTTTAAAAAAAAAACCCCTATAAAAACTACTGCTTTTGAATTGTTATTAAAAGTTTAGTTCATGTATCAACAGTGTGTTCACTGAAATATGAAAGTTTGTAAGTTAAAAGAGTGCCTTTGATTTAATTGAATTTGGAAATGAAGTGAAGACAGTTGTTATTTATTACAGTTTGTAACTAACTCAGCTTAATTACATGTATTACAAAACAAAACTATATCTATAGCTGTTTTCATACCACTTTCATCTGTGCCAAGCATGTTTAAACTAAGCTTTGGGTTGGCTAAGAAAGGGTCAACCCTTTAACCACTAAGAATGGTTGGCATCTAATTTCTTCTTGAGTATTACTGCTGAATCAAACTCTAATGTCATGAGAATAAAGGAAATGATTGCCAATAAGACAACTGGAGAAGCACTTGAAAGGTGAACAAATTCTCCATGTCAGCCTCAATGGAAATGTATAGGGAACAGCAAGGAGAATAAGAACACCTATGTTAGGGTGTAAAGAGTTAGCTCTATTTTACTACAACACAAACAGCTGCGATGCTACCTTGTTCTTCCAGTAATGATACAACTGTTCTGCTCTGATCTAGGAATCATGACATAAAACCCCCTCAGCACTTGGTTTGTTACCTAGTAAAACTTTCTCCAAGCTTGTTTAAATAAAAAGTATTTTGTTTTCAACTGCTAATTAAAACTGACAGATTTAAACATGACTAAAAACAAATCAAGATAACAGTTGTTAACTATCCATGTCCACATCTCCCAAATGTTCCCTTCCATACTTTGTTATCATATCTTGAACAAATTCTTGTTTTAATCTACTGAGGCATCTGTGAACAAAAATTCAACAGGTCACCACTATCAATGAGAAGAAATGAATATGAAAGTGATCTTCGCAGTAATGAACACTACTTGAGCAGTAGTGAAAATAAGGCCTGAAAAAAATTCAGGCCTGTACAAGATTTAAACCCATGACCTCTGTGATACTGATGCAGTGCTCTACCAACTGAGCTAACAAGCCAACTGAGAGCTGGTCATTATGTTGGTTCCAAATAAACCCATGAAGTGGTGTATGAATGCATGTCATAAATGAAAATCATATGTGTGAATTTCCAATAAAGAAGTGGATATGAAAGCAATCTTCCCAGTACTGAACACTACTTGAGATAAAGTGAAAATCCCATACAGGCCTAGAATTTTTTTCAAACTTTCAGACAGTTTCAATATTTCACAAGATTGTAAATTTGCACTCACCTTCTGTACAATGCACTGGATCTGAATTTAAATATATCAAATGAAGGTGAGTGTGGCATGTGTATGCTGAACACATTTGGTAAAACTACAAATTCATACCTGTGAACAAAAACTAGGTATAAGTTTTGATAACACTGAGTTGAAAATACTGCCCCTATGAAGTAATAATCTCTACACCATGTTGCCCTTAAATTGACAATACCATATACACTCAAGTTTGAAAGACATAATAGGAAACAAGTTAGTATATATATATATGCAAGTATGTAAGTATATATGCAAAAAGATGGTAAAAAACACAGCCATTTTAAACCTGAACTATTTGTCTCAAGTTGCTATTAGTAGTGGCATCACCATAATGATCATAACTCTCAAGTTTCCCATGGTTGAGATTGCACATGTGGATAAACACACAACATCACACAATCCAAAATTATGGTAAACAAAGTCATGTAATTTAAAGAATGCTTATAGATTAAAAGTGAAGTCCTGCAGCTGTCAAATTAAGTGGCTCATTTGACTGTGGCTTATCTCATGGAGTCCAGCACACTAAAATTTAGCCCATCATATCTGTGGTATTTTCCCTTACTGTGGGGTAAAGTTGGAGCATTTAGGGCACCAATGTATTTTTTATAAAAGCTAAGTTTTTCGTTTGTCTCATGTGTGATGTAGATCGCGACGTTTTGACTGCATACTGCTAGTCTTCTTCAGGCGATTATTTTTCAAAATATTTTCAAGATGTTGAAGAAAATTTATTTCACCTTTTGAAATGCTTATCGTTTTAATTTGTACAATCTGATGTGGAGACTCAAAGCATAATACAAATTACAAAATAATACAAGTCTCTAGTTCCCATCCTTATCTCTGTGTCAGAGAACTTACTTATACCCAGCTTCTTTGAAAACAAGTGGTCAATCTGCCTGCTTCCCAATTGACAAATTTGAAAATTCACAGAAAATAAGAGAAAGTCACAGTACTGAATTATGATTTTTTCCACTAATGAGATCACAAGAAATATATACTTTTTTCCATTGGCTGAAATAAAAATAAGGGGTTGGGAAACTTCCCATTATATACAGTTTATTTCCAGGATATAATCACTGTATATAATAATTATAATTATACTGTCACAATAAAGCTTCGAGTATGGGAATGCTCTTAGTGACTCAAGAAAAACACCTCATCTTTTAAAAAGTATCTACCAAAGTCTAGACTGAAGTTAATTTTAAATTCGTTGTCTAAATATACAATTTAATTTTTATTTGAAGACAATTCTATTTCTTCAATTAACTCACCATCAAGTAGACTGCTTATTATGGCAATTCTAACATATTTAACTTACCCCTGAGCTTGTAACTCCATTATGTGAGCTACTTTATTCCAACCAAATCCAACAAAACGTTTGTCATATCTGCTGATATTATTCCTCACAACTATGTAAGGCTCAAAATCTTCTTCCCACTGAATCTGTAATGAATAAATTTAAACAAATGCTTTACATAAAATGAAATTGATTTTAAAAAGTAGTTTTTATTTATTGAATAATGATTAGCTAGTATTATCACACGAACTGTCCCACCCCACTTGGGCAATCCCAAAGAAGACCATAGTGACAGCTGACATGTGCAAGGCAGGACAGGCTGATGTGAGCCAGTCCAGAAAAAGCAATCTGGGCCTGCTGCAATCATGCCACTTAGTTCCATAACTTAAAGAAAAACAGAAATGAGAAAAGACAAGTTGCATTTTTTACTGTTCCAACTCAAAAAAAAAAAGGAAAGTTTCAATTGCAGAATTATTTTTGTGCTTGTGAGACTCTGTGCCTGTCTTTTGCATCATATTAAGGTCAAAATTTTCTAGATCACAGTCAGAAAGTTTCCTGATGTTTCCATTTGTATGATTCAAATTCAAAGTTTCATTTATAAGAGTACACTATGATGCAGCTATGAATGTGTGGGTCAAGCTACAAATTCAGATTACACCATTCTGTGAAGTAAAGTCAAATAATATTAGTAACGTGATATAATGTTCTTACTGCCACTACTTACAGTGTATGGGGTGGTAGCTGTTCTCCACTTGGCATAATTGGTTGCTGCATGACCTTTACTCCACTCATGGTGTCTGGATAAAGATCAAGAAATGTCAGATGAAACATTGGTCATCTGACTAATCCTTCACACCATTAACACTTGTGACACACTACCTGGGTGTGGATTTTTCAATCATAACCTGTAACAAACTTACATTCTCTGCATGTTGCAAGGAAGAGAATTCTGCATCAATAATCATGATAGTAAAATAAACATTTAATTTCTTAATATGCAATTACTACAAGAACAAAATTCTTTCAATGATATATTTTATGTCTTGATCATAGGTTCTTAACTATCTGCTCTAAAATATAATAATTTCTTCTCCATCCACCATTTTATGATTTCAGTCTGATAAATGGCCTCTTTGAAAAAAATGGGCTTCATTGAAAATGAAAAAGTTATAATCCCTTATTGAACCCACCTAAATGTAAATATTGAGCCCAGGTCCCACTGAGACAGCAACTGTGCTTTTGTCTTTGGAAAATCTAATTTGTAGTGAAGAGTCTCGAAGGCTGGAACAACAAATGCCTGCAAACAAATACGAA